AGTTCAATGTCACAGGCTTTCACAGCACAAATGGCTGGTATGCTCCAATCTTCCTCTGATTTTTTGGTAAATCATATGTGTAATAATGTGCATGCAATTGATGACTTTACTTGGATTCTAGATACTGGAGCTACTGATCATATGTGTTCTAATTCCCATCTTCTCACTAAACTCAAAACCTTGTCATCCCCTCACCACATTACTTTACCTAATAATCAACAGATCATAGTCACCCAAACTGGAACTGCACACTTGCCTTGTGATATCACTCTTGAAAATGTGTTGTTTGTTCCTGAATTTAAATTCAATCTTTTATCTCTTGGAAAACTTTGTACTGATCTTGGTGTCACAGCATGTTTCACAACAAATGTCTGTACCTTGCAGGGCCTTTCCAAGAGGAGGCCAGTGGAACTTGGTAGAAAGCAAGGTGGTCTATATCTCACTCCTGTTTGTTCCTCACCATCAGTTTGTTCCTCACCATCAGTCTCCCATGTCAATATTTCTCACAGTTCTTCTGTTTGTAAAGAGTCCAATGTAGTTGTTTGGCATAGGAGACTGGGTCATTTACCCATGTACAAACTTCAGCAACTTTGTATTTCTGATAATAAAAGTTTGTCATCTTTGTCCTGTTGTGATGTATGTCCCAAAGCTAGACAACACAGATTGTCTTTTCCCATTAGTCAAACTCATTCTAATCATTTGTTTGAACTTGTACATTTGGATTTGTGGGGTCCCTACCATACTAAAACATACAATGGTTTTCAGCATTTCCTCACCATCGTCGATGATTTTTCTAGAGCGACGTGGACATACCTTTTGGCAGCAAAGAGCAATGCTCCTGATGTCATCCAATCTTTCATAATCATGATTAAAACTCAGTTTAATGCCCAAATCAAAACCATCAGATCTGATAATGCCTTAGAACTGGGTAAGAGTAAAGCTCTCTCTCAATTTTTTCTCTCAAAAGGAATCATACACCAAACCAATGTCAGAAACACCCCTCAACAAAATGGTATTGTTGAACGCAAACATAAACACTTGCTTGAAACCTCTAGAGCTCTCTCTATACAGTCTAATATTCCTCAAAAGTTTTGGGGTGAATGTGTGTTAACTGCCACTTACCTCATAAACAGGTTTCCTACCAAACTCTTACAAGGAAAATCTCCATATGAGGTTCTTTTTGGTGCCAAACCTAAATATGATCACCTTAAAGTGTTTGGCTGTCTATGTTATGTTTCCACTCAAAAACAAGGTCGAGATAAATTCCAAGACAGGGCTTCAGCTTGTATTTTTCTGGGATATCCTCTTGGTCAAAAGGCCTACAAAGTGTATGACCTTGTCACACACAAAATCACCACTTCCAGAGATGTTGTTTTTCATGAGTCTCATTTTCCATTCCAAACAACACCTCCATCAGATCCTCTTTTCCCTTCTCATCAGGATTACACTCAACCTCTGGAGGATTTTACTTCAGCCTCTTGTCCAATCCCTTCTTCCTCTGGAATTTCAGCTTCTATTCCAGACCTTCCAGTGTCTCATTCTTTTCCTTCAAATGACTCTTCTTCCATATCTAATGAGATCCCTAATAATCATGCCTCTTCCTCTTCTTCTTCATCTTTAAGAAGATCCATCAGAACCCACAAAGCTCCTGGTCATTTACAAGATTATGTCTGCAACTCTTTTCTCCAAGACTCATGCTCTTTTACCTCCATATCCAGTACATGTCCCCATACCCTTACCTCTGTCCCTACCAAAACCCACATATGCTTAGGAGCTCTAACCAAGTCTAGTCAACAGTTTTTGCACATTGTTTCATGTATGCAGGAACCAAAGAATTATGAGGAGGCAAAGAGTGATCCAGCTTGGCAAGAAGCTATGAATTTGGAATTCAAAGCATTGGAGGATACAGGAACATGGGAAGTCTGTGATTTACCTAAAGGCAAGAAGCCTATCAGTTGCAAATGGGTTTACAAGCTTAAATTCAAATCAGATGGGACTTTAGAAAGGCGCAAAGCTCGGTTGGTCATTCGTGGTTGCACTCAGAAAGAAGGCATAGACTACCAATGAAACCTTTTCACCTGTGGTCAAAATAACCACTGTTAGGGCCCTTATCTCTGTTGCAGTCAAACACCAGTGGACTATGTTCCAACTGGACGTTAACAACGCTTTCTTGCATGGTGATCTAAATGAGCACATATACATGAAACCACCCCCTGGTTTGCAGCTTTCTCATCCTTCTCAAGTCCTCAAGCTTCGCAAGTCTTTATATGGTCTGAAGCAGGCCTCAAGACAGTGGTATGCCAAGTTAAAGACCACACTCAAATCTAGAGGCTACAATTCTTCCAAGAATGATTACTCTCTCTTTATCAAACATATTGATTCTTCTGTGGTTTATCTAGTTGTCTACGTGGATGATATACTCATCACAGGCAACCATCTTGAGGAAATTACAAATCTGAAGAATCACCTTAATGCCTTGTTTAAAATCAAAGACCTAGGAACTCTCTGTTACTTCTTGGGTTTGGAAGCCATCCATGATAGTAAAGGGCTTATATTGACTCAACGCAAGTTTACCCTGGGTCTTCTTAAGGCTTTTCAGTGCCCTCCTTCTGCTTTTGCTGTTTGTCCCTTGGAAGCCAACTTGCAACTCAAACTCAGCACCGGGGCTCCCCTTCCAGATCCTACTCTGTATAGGTGTTTGGTTGGGAAACTTAACTTTCTTACTCACACTCGCCCAGACATTGCCTTTGCAGTTCAATTCTTGAGTCAACTTATGCAGGACCCTAGACTCCCTCATTGGGAGGCTGCTCAATACACCCTTCATTATTTGAATTCAGCTCCTTCCCAAGGATTATATTTCAATGCTTCTCTTGATTTTTCTATGGAAGCATATTGTGACTCTGATTGGGCCTCATGTCCTAACACTCGTCGTTCGGTGAGTGGATATTTCATCCTCCTAGGTGGCAGTCCCATCTCCTGGAAGGCAAAGAAACAACACACTGTTTCTTTAAGTTCTGCCGAAGCTGAATATAGATCTCTCCGTCGTGTTACTGCTGAGTTGGCTTGGCTATCTCGTTTGTTTGCAGAGTTTCAGGTTCCCAATATCACTCCCATTCCAGTTCGATGTGACAGTAAAGCTGCAATTTACATTGCCTCCAATCCTGTTTATCATGAGAGAACCAAACACATTGAATTGGATTGTCACTTTGTTCGAGAAAAACTTCAAGAAGGTCTTATTACACTGACTCATGTTCCCACTACTGCGCAGCTTGCTGATCTCTTCACTAAGAGTCTTCCTGGAGTGCTACATCACAAGCATCTTTCCAAGTTGGGGGTTCATCCACCTCCAACTTGAGGGGGGGGTGTTGGATACAGCTTGTTCATTTTGTTACACTTTGTTACTCAGTTAGTTAATAATCTGTTAGTCAGTTGTGTTAGTTAGAAGTTTTGTTACAGTCTGTTATTTTCTTTCTCTGTTGCTTTCCCGTAGCTTCTTCTCTGTATAAATAGGCCCTGTTCTTCTTCCCAGAACTGCTGCTGTAATCACATAGCCATAATCAATGTCTTCATCTTTCTTCTAGCTTCTTGCATTCATCTTCTTCTTTTCGTGATCAGATTCAGATCAACAGGTTCTTTTGGAGAAGGAACGGGAACAAGCAAAGATAAAAAATAATCTATCTCCAAAAAAATCCCAATGCTGAAGCAAGTCCACTTTTTTTAACCAGGAGTTTTTTTTCTTTTGGTTCAGAAGGAGTATTATATTATATAGCATTATGATTACCAGATACCACAGAGATAGCTGACACTAAAGAACCATATTTTCCTCTGACTGGAACTGCTGTAGTTCCTTTCCCAGCATAGTGAAAGCGCACTTCTAGAGTTTTGTCTGTGACAGTTGCATTAAATTTCAGTTTCAAGGGTATATCAACACCTTTAGCTATACTTTTGATGTCAAAGTCCTTCAAGACGCGTACACCCTGTGAAAATGCTACAAACTGAGTCCATTGCATTTTCATTATTTTTTTTAAATGTCCACTGTAAATTTTACCTGGATATAAACATCAAAGAGCCGTCTTCCAAGGCTTTGGAATGATCTATTATCCCTTATAACAATTTCAGCAAAATGTAGAGTGATCGTATAATTTCCATTTGCCAAACAGCGTCCATAGTAAGTTAAGGATAAAGGAGAGACACGAGCTGTCGTGTAAAGTTCGGATTCATTTCCCTTTATAACAGATACATTATTTGCTGTATAGTCAGAAATGGTTCGGTTTCTATCCCAAAAGTCCCCTGTACTACTGGTAACCCAATTCTCGTTGGGGTGAGCAAAGTTTGTAGATCCCGCTGAGGCTTGATCATCATCATAAGTTATATCTCCAACCGCAACTTTGGGACCGCCACAATTTATATGGAAAGAATACCAATCTGAAGTGTATAAATTCAAAAGGTTGCAAAATAAACAGTGTGAGTGTGTGTGTAGATATTGTCAATTCAAATTTGAATGAAAAAACTGTGCCGACTGATAATTCATCATTTCATCTATTCTTTCTTTACATTTCCAGAAACTTTTTCATGCTTCTCAAATACTGGGGGCAATGCAAAGGTCAATGAGGTTGAATACGTACTAAAGTACTAACCTTTAGAGCAAGAACTCAAACATTTCCCAGCTTCTCTACAATTTCAGAGAAGAAACTCAAGAAAGTCACAACCAGACTAAGATGGACAAAGCAAGCACGATAATAGCAGTTTCTATTGAAATGATTCCACTTAATGACGCTAAGTCTTACTTATTATCCCATCCGCGGAAGGTTTTGAACAAGTTTCTGAAAACAGGATAAAAAAAGCCCTGATGAATATGTTTCTTGTGAACCATTAAAAGACATGGACGTAAATCTTGGACTTACAAGCTATCGCTACAAGTTGATGGAACTGAACTCTCACTGAAGTTATTGTAAGAAATATCTATTTGCCTGCAAATGAAATGTTACATGTACTAAGAGGATGTAAAACATATATTTTAAGTACTTTTGCTCAGGAAGCAACAAAAGAAACATATTAGCAAGCAGTAGAGAAATTAAAGGTATAAGAAACATACGTTCTGGGATCTCGACTTACTATCCAACCTGGTATAGGCCCAGTGAAAGAGTTGTTCGTCAGTAACCTAGAAGTTTGGGCATTATTTCAGTTCATAAGGAATTGCATATTTTTTATATAATTTCAAACAGTTTGGTACACACATCATTTCCATGTTACTCAGACCATCAAGATTTGGTACTTCACCTCCCAGATTGTTGAAACTCAGATCTCTGTAGAAAAGAAAAGAAATGCTTCTTAGGCAGACTATATTTTTGTATCAGTGGAAATGATGGCTAATGGAGCTAAAAGTCTCTGAACAATGTTTTAGTTTTGGGCACATATTGGACCAAATCAAAATGGCACATTAAACTTCTTTTGCTTCTCACTTTCTAATGAAGTTTAGGGAAGTAAATGCAGCAATACATCTTGACCGCCTAGAACCCAACGGAGTTGAGATTATATTGGATTGTTGGTGTTGGTGTTTTTGTAGTCACTACAAGAATTTGTCTGGTCTGCAACGGAAATGATAATAATTTTAGAATGTATGGAGACGTGTTCATTACTACCTCTGTCCCATAATTATGTTCCTATGTTGATTTGGCTTGCTTTTAATGAAGTGAGCATTGTGTGTTTCGGAGGAAAGAGACATTTTCAACCAAAGAATCTTTTCCTAAAAAGGAACATGGAACAAAATCTTGAGAGGACCCAAATCGGAAAGAAGGAAAAACATCATGGGAACTTGGGACTATCTATGTACTTTAGGTATAAGCTTCTCTTTCTCAGTAAATACAAAACCAAAAAACTAAAACATCAAAGCATATAAAAGGAAGGGAGCATAACAGAAGAACCCAAAGCAACTAGGAATTACAGTGCACGCAATGGCGTCATAGTGCCCACAAAATCTGGTATTTTCCCTGATAAATTACAGCTCCTCAACTTCCTGCAACAAGAATTCATTTCCTCCAAGATTATGGAAATTGTAAAAGTTTGACCATTTTTTAAGGAAGAAAAGAGTGTTACTTACAACTTAGTCATGACTGTCATGTCTTTTAACATGGGAAACACAGAGGCACCTCTAATTAAGTCACTAATTCTCCTGCACGGCCATTTTAAAAAGATTAATAGGCTAGTAAAGCTACATAAACCATAACTGCATATCATAGTAGAAATTTTCTTGAAGCATTTTCTCACAGTTCAGTTAAATTTGTCAAAACAGAAATGCTTGAAGGTATTGGTCCTTCAAACCCACCAGCTTCAATCTCTCTGTATTCATAAACCAAGTGTTATATATAGAAGTCTTAGATCATTGAAGTAGAAATGTTGGCAGAAAGTCTTACATGTTTTGAAGATTTTTCCAAGCCTGAAAGTTAGGCAATCTCCCACTGAAGACATTCCGGCTCAGCCTACTGTATAGGTGAAACTCAAATCAAAATGACTGAAGAGTATTTTTCTTTTCTTTAAAAACTGTATATCAGGAACGGTGAGCGTACAGTTCTGTCAATTTGGTCAGATTATTCAATTCCACTGGGAGCTCACCTGTGAGATTGTTTGCAGAAAGAATACTGCAAAAAGGAAAATAAAACAGCATGAATAATATGGGAATACAAACATTAAACTTGACTTATTGAGACACGCATAGAGTCCATACAGTCTCTCTAAATTGACAAGTTTCCCAAGTTCCTTTGGAATAGTTCCATTAAACATGTTATTCTCCAGACTCCTGAAAAAGCCATCAACCTTTAAGTAGTACTCAAGAGATTCTTGAAAAAGTCAAAATAAAGATATGATGTGCATTCCCATAAGGTGCAAGGTAAAACACATACATTATAGCTAACGTAGTTATATTTCCCACATATGTTGGGATGGGTCCTGATAATTGGTTGACAGCAACACCCCTGCAAGCAAACCATATCGGCTAACATGGTTAAAAATGGTTTACACATGTTTGATTAGTGGAAAATGGTGGTAGCACTCACAGGAACTGCAGTTTGGTAGATGCCCATTCACGGGGGATTGTTCCACTTAAATAGTTACGAGTAAGGTCACTGTAGAAAAAAAGTAAAATTATATATCGATCAAGAACCTGAGACTCAGATATGCTATAACAGGAAATTTTCAGTACATTTTCTTGATGAAAGGTAACTTTGACAAGGAAGGAGGGAGGACACCTGCTAAATCCTGTGAAGTAAGAGACCTGCTTACATAAAACAGAAACTCTCAGAATTTCATTAATGACTAGGCAAAATAATGGAGTTCAATAAGGAGAGACGGAACAAACATGGTTTCGACATGGCAAAAACCATCACCATATGTACAATTGCAGAGAAGGGAGTTTTGATAGATGGGCAAATCGTCACGGTGTGGGGTGTTCCAGCTCGAGTCCCCATCACACGGATTCAAGCGGAAGTTCCAATCCTTTTTCCCCAACTGATCAGCTATTTCGCGAAGAGCTCCCACTGAAATTTCCACATGAATTCACCAAGATACTCAGATAAAATAACCTCTGGAGAAGTAAAGTTCAACACCTTTCCATATGCTGCCCAATAAATGTGCTCATATAAGCATTCCTCACCTCAATCTCTAGACCTAACTTGATCTACTTAAATCATAAAGTCTCTCATTAACACATTCTTGAGTTGTTTGTGGTTTAACAAAAATGGGCACTTCAAATTTGGAACAAGCGAACTTTATAAACAAACCATTAACAATAAAAGAATTCAAACATAGCGAACAAAAAGATCAGAAGATGAGAAACAAAATGCTTATAAGAATAAAGATTTTGCCTTCAGCCTGGGGTAGAGGAAGAGCCGGAGCTTGAGCTTGAATTCCATGGAGGTTGAAGCAGAGCAGCAAGAAAAGAAAGAAGAGCACAGTATTCGAGCTCAGAAATGGTGCAATCATTTCTCAAGAATCAACAGTGGACAGGGATGATTCAATAATGGGGAAAACCATTTAAGATTTCTTTTAAAATTTTAAATTGAAAAATGCTAGGGGTATCCCATTTGTCTCCCACCCCCATTACCACATAAATGGAATGGAATTTTTAAAAAAATTAAATAAATAAAAAATAGATAAAAATAAATGGTGAAGAAGGGAGTGGGGGACAAATGGAGTACACCCCTAACATTGATCTTTTAAATTTATCCACACAAAAAATAATCATACTCCGTAATAAAGAATCATGAGGATAGTCAATAATGGGTTCTTGCTTTCTACCCGGCTTGAGTTATTTATCAATAACAATAATGGCTTAGAATTACTTGTAGCTTTTGGCAAGTATTAGAATTATTTATAGATTTTAAGTAATCTTGAGTGATATTAGTGTTTGACTTCTTTACTAATGCTTTCAAATACTTAATAATCATTTTTACTCTAGGAGAAGAGAGTTTTAGGCCCCATTTGGCATAAGAGATTAGTGTTAGTATTTTGAAATGTTATCTGACGGTAATATTTAGTGTTTTTTCAAATTAATCTACACCATTAATATTTTATCCAAAATGCTAACGCTAATTGAATACGCTCTTCTCAAACAAGGCCTTAAAAACTAATAAAGAGGTAAGTCTTGAATTTTCATGTTTTTCGATACATTAGTTTCCAACTTACATAAGGCAATCAACTCACTGTTTTTAAAAAAATAAAAATAAAAATCTTTGTTTAGAGCTTAAATTATTAATTTCTGAGTTAATAGCATGAGCGCCCCCTGTGGTTTATAAAAAGAGCGTCAAAACCCCTTCTATTTTCAAAAGTTATCTGTAAAGTCCCCGTGGTTTCTAAATAGAGCACACATGCCCCCCTTACCTATTTTTAAAGCAAAAATGACATTTATGCCCTTTGTTTTCCCCGATCTTGAATTTTTCTAATTTCAATTTCCTTTATTATACAAATATATAAAATGAAATATACGCTTCCCATCTCAAATTAGAATTTTTCATAATGTACTTTTGAAAATAAAAGATTTTTTTAGAGAATGTTATGAAAAATAAAATATTATGTACAAAGTAAAAAGTAATAATAGTTAAAAAAGGTAATGAAAAGAAATAAAAATATAAAAAATAGTCTCTTTCTTTAACTCCATATTTTGTTTCATCTTTCAGTTCTTCATTTTTTAAAGTCCTTAAAAAAATATTTTACTTTTAAAAACAAATAAGTTAGAATTTTTAATTAGAGATAGAGTGAGTATATATGTTATCCAATTTTTTATTTTACTTATTTTACTTTTACTTTTAATGAGAAAGTGTATTTATTTCATTTTTGTAACATTTTCTTAAAAAATTATTTTTTTGAAAATTAAATAAATAAAAAAATTTAATTTGAGAAAGAGGGCGTATATTTTGTTTTATTTATTTGTATAACAAAAAATGTAAAGAAAAGAGTGAAATTTGAAAATAGAGAAAAACCAAGGGCGGAAATGACATTTTATGTGTAAAATGGGCAAGAGGGGGTGTCTATGCACTATTTAAAAATCATAGGGGTTTTACAAATAAATTTTGAAAGTAAAGGGGATTTTGGCGCTCCATTTGTAAACTACGGGGGGACCCATGCTATTATCCCATTAATTTCCAGTTCTTTCTAATTTCTTTTAACCCCTTCTAGTTTCTTCAATATTGTTTTTAAATATTCTCATTTTCTTCAAACTCTTTCTACTCCCTAAACAATTACTCTAAAAACGGTGTATTTTTAATGTCATTATTATTATCATTATTACTATTATTAGCATTATCTTCATTATTATTATTATTATTACGACTATTATGTCCATAACTATTGTTTATAAATTATTTCATTTTTTTATTTTTTCCATGTCACTATTTTTATGATTCGCACTCTCCTAAATTGATATGAGGAAAACATTTTTCAATTTTTTATAAAAATTTTTGGAATTCAAGATGTTTTAGGGAAAAAGACTAAACTATAACTGATGATCTAAGATATATAACTGAGTAAATTACAACTCAAAATCGGAAAAGGAACCTCAAGTAATATTGCTTAAAAGAGGAGTTCTTCAGTTCCCTCATTACATATATGACAAAAGTGAAATAGTTGCCATCACATTTACAGAACCTTGCCACCAAACTTAGGCCGCGTCTCTGGTTTATTGACTGAACTGCCATAGTAATGATTAGTAGAGAGAGTTTCCCGGTGTCTCGGATTCCAAACTGGCTCCAAGATTCTGGGAAGACGATGACTCGGCAAAGTTGCCACCAGTACCAGAGTTGGAGCTTTGTCTTTCACGACGAAGGTCTTGTATGGCCTTAAGCCTCAAATCTTCAGGGTATGTACTGGCCTCTGGGAGTTCGTCTGGAACACGAATCCTCCCTTCAAGCATACCAAGAGCTTCAGACATGGTTGGCCTCAGTGATGGAGTGGCACTGGTGCACAGCAGTGCTACTTTCACAATCCCTTTTACCTCTTCTTTCTTCACATCAGATCCCAATTTCTCATCAGCCATCTCCTCTGCCTTCCCACTTAGCAGCAAGAAACAAGCCTGAAACATTTAATGCCACATACAGACACAAATTTTTCTACACCAAAAGCCTACATTTATCCCATAAACAATCATCAAGTTTTAAATTTCTACGTAATTTTTTTTGGTGTTAGTCCATTTTTTATGAACAAAACAAAACACGGTTTTTCAATGCAGAGTTGGGACATTAAACCAAGCTTTGTTTTGCTCTTGTTGGGTGTTGTTGGTGTGATATTAAGGCAAAGGAGAGAAGGGGATGGTACCCAATCTAAAAGACAAACACAATTGCCGATTGGTGCAAAGTTATTGTTGCTCTTCCCGCTAACAACTTCCAGCAGAACGATTCCAAAGCTGTAGACGTCTGCCTTGTAGGTCAAGTGACCCCAAAGTGCATATTCAGGAGCCATGTATCCTCTGGAATCAACAACCAAATGGCATGTCAACAAAAAGTCAAAATTCTACTCCTTCCGTCCAAATTTAAGTTGTCTGTTTACTATCCACAAGGTCAAACTTTAACCACGTTTTTTACTCAGCTTTTCTACCCATTTGAGAAAATAATATATTCTTATAGCATCTTGTTTTGTAGAACTTTTGATGTAGTCTTTAAACATATAATTTTTTTTTTCATTCCATACCAACTTTTAAATAAATTGAATTTAAAATAACTCCAGTCAAACCTCATAAACAACCGGCAATTTAAATTGGGAGTTGGGACAGAAAGAGTAATAATCAGAAGATGCTTCGAATGTGTTTGGCTGGAACAGCCAAAATTTTCCCTCTAAACAACCTTTTGGCTCCCCCATCCGAAACAAGTTTTGAGCCAAATGAGGGGGGAAATTATTCTTCTCCCCTCCAAGCAAACACATCCTCTAGAAGACACATTGACATCCATATCATTTGAATGGAATGAGTAGAGCTTGCTCACACTGTTCCTGCAATTCGAGTACTGATATGGCTCTTATCGTCTTCATTGAGCCTTGCCAGTCCAAAGTCTGAGATTTTGGGATTCATGTTTCCATCAAGAAGCACATTTGTCGCTTTAACATCTCGATGAACAATTCTGAGGCTGGACTCCTCATGCAGAAAAGTCAAACCTCTAGCAATACCAATACAAATCTTTAACCTTGTTGACCAGTCTAACACCAACTCATTTTCCTCTAAACAAAAAAAAAAGCAAGAAAAAAGGTGACCGATCAATTGTTAGGGTATGTTTGAGAGTTAGGCATTGGAGAGTTTTAGAGGGGATGCGTTGTTTATCATTTTCATGAAGTAATGTTGCGATATGATAAAATNCCCCCCCCAAGATCTAACTCTCAAACACTCTCTAACACTATGTTTGGTTCAGGAAATTAGGAAGAGGAAAATGCTAGGAAAATAAGGTAAATAAAACTAGAATCCAAATCTTGTTTTTCCTTACCATTTTCTTTTCTTTTCCTCCCAAATTTCTTTTCTTTTCCAATATAACCAATCACCAAAACTGTTTTTCCTTACCATTTTCTTTTCTTTTCCTTTCCGAATCCCTAGTGTAAGTGAACAATTGTAGGACATTGCTAAGGAACTTTCAGGCTTAAGTGAGAACTTACTGAAAAGAACATTGGCGAGGCTGTTGTTCTCCATGTATTCATATACAAGCAGTAACTGATCTCCTTCAACACAACCCCCAAAAAGCTTTACAACATTAGGATGTTGCAAACAAGAAAACATGCCCATCTCATTCAAAAATTCTTTGTTTCCCTGCCTTGATTTGGATGAGAGTTGCTTCACTGCTATTAATGTGCCATCAGATAACCGTCCCTACACGAGATCTTAAGTTGAACGATTCAAGCCAGTAAATGATGTAAGAAATAGAAATACACAAAAAGTATTCCCTCCGTCCTCGTTTAAACTCATTGTTTAACATTAAAAAAATTTGTTAAGAAAGTGAAAAATGTGTGGCCGGTATTCATCAAGTGGAGAGCGAAACAATATTAACCACATAATCCTTTCCTTAAAAGGAAGATAAATCTGGGACATACGGAAAAGGAAAGTGTGAAGACAAAATAGGAATAAACGATAAACATGGGGAATGTTTGGAACCGTACCTTGTATACTGGGCCAAAACCGCCTTCTCCGATCTTTTTTGAAGCATCAAAATTATTGGTGGCAACTTTTATTTGTTTTAACGTAAAGGTAACCATTTGTGAATCAACTTCTGGATCTGTCAAGAGTAAAGGTATCAGTTTTAAGTTTGTACATATCCATAGCATCATACTTTCCATTATAACATTCCCATTCTCTTCCACAAATCCAAACAGGGCACTAGCTAAATGTAGCTGTTTATTATGTCAAGTAAAATTATCTGTACCATGCCCCCCTCTACATTGTAGATAGCCATTCCACCATAGCAAGCCAAGTATGAAAAACACAACAACTGCACTCACTGCTCCAACAATACTGATAATAATCGGGTGCTTTTTTGTCCCACCTAAACAAGATTTCATATCTGCCAAAAAAAGGATAATGAAAAAACTAATTAGCTTTGTTGATTTAACAAAACTTATTATGTGCAACTTGTCTTTCCACCTTTTTTGAAAAACTGCACGAAAAATTAGCTCCGTTTAATAAAATGAGACTCTCTTTTGGGATGGGGGAAAACCAGAAAAAATCATTTTAATCATATGTGGTTTTGAACATTCAACGAATTACACACATTTCTAGCTATAACTATATATGCTATTGCTGTGAATGTTGCTTTGGGAGACTAACCTTCAGGACTAGAGTTAAAAGAAAAAGATGTCAATCAAACCATTGGGAACAGTACATACTTACACGGATTGACTGAGATAGCTGATACTAGGGGACCATAATGCCCTGAAAGAGGGATGCGTGTTGTCCCCTTACCAGCCCAGTAAAGGCGAATCTCCAAGGTGTTATCAATTACACTGGCATTAAAGTGCCTAATAACAGGCCTTTGCGCTCCTTGAGCCTCTTCTTCAATATTAAACCCTTTCCAAACTAGTTTGTCCTGAAACATAGCAGAAGGTTGGTAATAAACATTCTAAAACACTTATTATGAGAAGCATTAATTAGTACTTGCGGTCCCTTAAGCTTAACAAAATCATGGCAAGTGTGTGGCTGACCAATGGCTTAGGCAGCGGCTCGTATTGGAAAATAGAATTTGTAATAATTCGTCTCTAATTCATCTGACTTCTTTGTTTTACTGTAACTTATTTTTCTCGCAATATTGTAGTGTATGTAATTAAAAATATATGAAAGAGGGGTAAAATGACAATTTTGGGTGAGCTAGGGGTTCATTTCATCTAAATTATTACATACATTTACATTTTTTATACTTAAAAAATATCAGCTGCATCAATACCAAAATCCCAACAAGTTGGCGTCGACGGCCTTTAAAAATTTATAGTGCCAATAAATTGTATGAAATTATTCAACACTATAAATTCATGCGAAAGAAAATAGGCACTGTTCTATGCCAGATGCTCTTCCTGCCACAACCTTCTTAAGAATAATAAAAAAAATTCTAAAACAGTCATCAACATGGGTTACTCCACATGCATGGAAAAATCATGAAAACACACACTTGTCATGACTCTTACGGTGTCATGTCTCTCGCAAGTGAACAATTTTAACTAGTAGTTGATAGAAATAAATAACCTGAATGTAAATGTCAAATACACGCCTTCCAAGACTCAGGTATGTACTGTCATTTCTGAAAACAATCTCCGCGAAGTAAAGAGTCACATTATAGTTCCCATTCTCCAAGCAATAACCAAAGTAAGTAAGTGAAAGAGGAGAAATCCGCGCACTACTGTACAATTCAGAGAGGTTTGTTGATCGTTGTGACACAACAAAACGTGTGTTCTGAACATCACCATCATCCATGAAGTCACCTGTGCTGCTAAATCCCCAATCGTTACCTCCACTGCTAATGAAATATCTTGAAGCAGAACCACCTTCAACTCCTGCATCTCCCTCATATTCTACTTCACGGTTGCCACTTTCTTTAAGAGTAACATCATTTCCGCCACAATTTACATTTATAGAACAAACATCTGTTAAGGAACACAAAATTTTTACTTTGGATCCCCGCGTGATCTCAAGTCAATTTGATATGACATATAAGAACCATCTTCTACTATCATAGAAATTAAATCAATTTTTTCTGATATTTTTACTGATTTGTTTGACTTAAAGTCATGACATATATAAAACTGTAGAAGAAAAATTAGTTGAAGAGAAAGAAAAAAGGATATGAGTACTCTAGAATTTTAAATACATAGGTTGGAAATTGCTTTAGTATTTGATCGAAATAATTTCATAGCCGAAATGAAGCTTAGTGTAATGACACGTGAACTTAAAATGGAATTTACTTTTACAGCCATTATCAGATGTATATTACAAGAAACATAAAAACAACATTAAACAAATAGTTGGGCCATATTTGGAAAATGAAATCATCGTTAGTTTCTACTTTCTACGGTACGTGGAATTAGCAGAAAATTGGGAAAGACGTTTCAGATTTTTCTTTCATGCTATGTGATTTCCAAGGAGTGGAAAGAAATCCACTTACATCTAGGACAAGCAAGTTTCTCTGCACACGGAAGAGTTCTCCTTCTGTTGAAGAAAAAATAGGGAACAGTTTGCATTACTATTCAGTTTTAGACTTTATGTAAATGAGTACTATATCAAGTGTTCCGAATCTTTACTGCATGATGTTATCAAGACCAAAGAAATAAAATGAGCACAAGAATCTTACAATGCACTTACTCTTGAAAAGCTCTTGTATAAGTTCAGATGTAAATTCCTAGTAGAAAGGAATGTTCATTATCACCAAAACTTGGCAAGCTAAGGACATAAATGTAAAAAGATAAAGGAGTGTCCTTACGGATCAGGTTGACAAGCAGGCTCATCAACACCTTGCCATGTAAAGTTATTATAGGAAAGATCACTGCATATGCAATAGAATAATAATTTCTTTTAGCCTTAGTTTCTATGAAATAAAGTAGAGGGAAAGAGTCAAAAGAGAAATGAAGCATTTCTCTTGTTTGGAGAGCAAAGAAAGAGGGAGCAAATAAAAGAGAGTTGTGGGTCCTACAGTCTCCTCTCATATACATAGAGGTAGGAAAATATATACTACGAGTATTTTTCATTATCAATATTTTCATCTTTTGTATTCTGTATTTGTTCAATGAATGACAATGTGGTCATTTTAACAATAACACACATTTCTTTGATGGCATGTTTGGGAACTCAATTTGGATTTCAAATCCGGATTTGGCTCAAATTCCATGTTCGGGAATCTTAAAATTTTGGATTTGGATTTGAATCAAATTCCTCAAAATTTGCTTTCTCTCGCCTTTTTATTTCCTGTCACACTCTTCTCTCTTTTTTGTTCTCCATTTTTCTTGTGCACCACCAAACAAAACATGATCAACCTTTACCCGAAATATGATGCAGAAAGCCATGCTGCCAGTTCATATGTTTAGGTATTAAAGTTTATGTAATTTTCCTAAACTACAAACACCAGATTCTATCTGCATAACCAGAAACTAATACACCTGTAATTTAGTAAATGATTCAAGTGATAATAAACTTACATGTTTATTCCATCTACTAATATTGACTTCGGAATATTCCCGCTGAGGATGTTTCCAGTTAAAAAGCTGTATCCAAGAAACAACATAATCAGCACGGATGACAAGCAAACATGCTGTGCAAAGTGGCTAATGAACGGGTAAAGGACAAGAAAATACTTAATATGATAAATAAGATTTCTGGCAATCTCACTATTCAAGTAATGAATTAATATTGTAATGGAAGCTAAAAATATGGGAATTTGTCCTTACAGAAACTTTAAAGCACTTCTGGCACTAATAAAATCTGGAAATCCGCCAACTAGCTTGTTGAAACTGACATCCCTAAGCATGAAAATTTAAAATATAGTATGATTAAAGAACAGAGGAAATTAACCATTATTAGGCAACTTTATTCAGCAAATAATGCACCAAAAATTAAGTCTAACCTGCTCATAAGAAAACATAGAAAACAAACAAGTGCTAAAAAAGCTAGAGTCGCCTGGCCTTCTCTATGAAAAAAACTTAAAATTAAAAGGAGAAAATGACTCAAGACAGTAAAACAGCTCTGAAAGAAGTGAACAGAAAGGGCAACAAGTTTTTCACCAGAGTAAAGATTTTTTTGTTCAGATTTTAGTTACCTCCTAGATACCGACCATCACATTAGCAAATTACTCGTTCCATCCCATATCTTTCTTTATTTTGAGTTATGAACTTATGATATAATCTTAAATTCAATAGATTCATTTTAAAATGTAGTTTTAAAATATAATATTACTACAAGATATATCTATGTATGAACATAGATACTCTCTCTATCCCATCAAATGCTTTCCACTTTCTATTGTGAATCCTGTAAACTTACTATTCACAGAATCACTTACAACAACACAACAATAATCCAGTTGTTTTTAATTATGTAGTCTTTTTTATTTTTAGGTTTACATCAATATTCAAATTAAAATAAATTGAAAATAACATTAGTCAAGCCTCATTAAATGTGGGTCAAGAATCAAATGGAACAGAGGGAGTATTAATGGTCAAAGTATTGCATTGGAGACCGTGAAAAACTAAACGAGAAGAAAGATATAAGACGGAGGGAGTACAAGATAATAGAGTCAATGGGTCAAATCTAAAGATGTAAAGCATTTCATACACCATATATACAGTAAATAAGTCTATTTTATTAAGAACCAGACATGTATACATGAAATGAGTATTTTCTTTTTAAAAAGCCCGATAAAAACAACCTCACATAAATATAGTCATTTAAGTCCAAAAGTATTTACGTGCAATGCAAATATGCAAAATACGTAATGATGAAGATGGAGATGATGATGCTAAAGCCAAAGAGTTACAGAGTGTGATGATGTAAAACCGCCTAAAACCAACCAAAGAGGCTGGTCACACATCCCTAATGTGAAACGAAGGGCAATTAGAGACCATTCACATCTAAAAGTAAGGATTTATGTTGTGAATTGACACGTGATTACGTACAAGAGTTGAAGGTATTTCATGTTCCAGATATATGAAGGAATTTCTCCAGAAATATTGCAGTTCCTCAATATCCTGAAAATGATTAATGACGCCTCAAACCAAAGGATCTTGAACATGGATGCCTAGACCAATTTCTGTTACATAAATATCATCCTGACTCACAATGTAATTAGGCCCGTGCTCCTCCTCAGGAGAGGAAATCCCTGACTAGGTCCATTTATGTCACTGATCCTCCTGTAAAGGAACTTAGAAATTGTCAAATACTAGTGAAAAACAAAAACTAGATACTCCGTATGAGACATCTGAAACATATGTAACGTATTTCAATACTGCAACGGCCAGGAACTCACAAATTAGTTAGGTTTTCAAGAAGAGATAAAAATCGTGGGATGGGTCCTTCTAATCCACTAGCCTGCATCTCTCTTCATTTCCATTCAAAGTTAATTACAGTCCAACTATACAAACATTTGAAGTGTGTTGGAAAAATGAGATCTTACAGTCTTGTAAGTTGTTTCCAGTTCTGTATGAAATCGGGAATTGGACCTGAAAAATTGTTGTCACTTATCCGGCTGTAGAAAGTAACATAATATCAATCACAATATCAAACACACACACACACACAAGAGGGAGAAGAAGACCAGCTGAACAAATATGAATTGAGCTTACAAATCTTGCAAATTTACAAGCGCCGAAAATGATGTGGGTAAGCGCCCTTCCAAACGATTTGAGGACAACATCCTGAAATTCAATGTCGGGAATCATTCCTACACAACATATATACAGGGAAAAGCAAGCATGGCTGCAGAAGGTTGTCTTACAAGGTTTTCAAATTTATCAAGTTTCCAATTTCAGAAGGAATAACACCTGAAAACTGATTCCCCTCAAGATTTCTGGATCAAATTACACGAATTCCACAATACAAATATGCCAATTTATCAAATAATAGTAGTAAGTTAAACATTCCAAGGTGGGGAAGCACATAAAACAAATGCAAAACTTGATAATACATACAGATAGTTGAGGCTTGTAATATTTCCCAATGCTTTGGGTATTTCCCCCGACAGCCGATTCACAAGCACAGAGCTTGGTAAAAGAAATTGGCAATTAGTGACTGTGATTGAAGGAATCTAGAGACACACACTCAACCACATGAGATCGGAGCGAGGAGCTTACATGAAGTTGAGTTTTGTTGAGGCCCACTCAGTAGGTATTGTACCACTGAGATAATTGTAAGCAATATCACTAAAACAAACAATGGAGAATGGCCATCAGCTGGTTGTCAATATACAGAACAATAAAGATGAAAACCACAAGAATCAGATTAGCCTAACAAATGCAACATTGACATAAAATCCTTACATGTGTTGGATATAAGGGAGTTGTGACAGTTGCGGTGGAAGAACTCCGGGAAGACTGAGACCCTTCAGCACACTGCACTAGTGAAAATTTGGATTCAGTTCCAATTCTACCAAGTAGGGGTAACTAGGTAAGGTCTGCATACACACACCAATATAATTTAGAATACGGTAGGGATAGCTAGACTTTGTGATAAGACACTTGGGTTGAACCACATTAAAATATTTAATCGAATCGATTAACTAGTTCAACTCAAGAGCTTATAAACCTGCTATATTCTTCTCAATTTTTTGATCTGAATAAACTCTAACACTCCCCCTCAAGTGGGCAAGCGGGTCATTTTGAATCTAACTGGTTGACCACTTGCAAATGGAATCCCAAATCTCATCCCTCTGCTTTTTTTTAGATGCAACACCTAAAGGACCATGAGCCGCTAGTGGTCGAGTTAAACGGGACACTGAGAGACATTCCACATGGACAACTGAGCTAAAGACCAGAGCCGCTAGGAAAGAACGTCTAGACGGTCACCATGACAAACAAGGTGGGCTAAAACTAGCTTTGATACCATGGTAGAATTTAGGATAGGGATCACTGAACTGAGCCATAAGACACTTGGGTTGAACCACATTACAAGATTGAATCTAATCGATTAGCCTGTTCAACTCGAGACCCTACTTTTGTGTGACTCTACTAGAATGTTGTTGTTGTTTGTAGGTATAATTCTGCACATATAATAAGATGAAGAACACCTCACATGCTTATAATGTGGCAGGAATCAATATCCCCATTATTGCAGTCACATTCAACACTGATATCGGACCAACTTAGCTGCTGTCGTGTTACCCCAACAGTTTCAACTTCGCAAGAATCCGCATTGAACTTCCAATATTTTGCACCCATGGTAGTAAAAATTTGTTGGAGAACATCCACTGATAAACAAAGATGGGATGTAATTAGACATGTTGAAGATGGCCATTATCGTCAACTCGAATCATCAAAATGGAAGTATGGTGAAACTACCAACAAATTGAAATTTACTTTCACTTCCACAGTGAAAAGAAAGTTGCAACCTTTTAACAAATAATAATCAAATCCAAGATTTTCTAAATCCATTGGTTAAGTGCTTCTAGAGGAATGAAAAATCAAGAAAACGGAGTCTCAGTACTTCACCTTCTTCTCGAGCAACCCTTGATTCAGCAAACCTCTTGAAGAAAAAGCTGAGCAAAAGAATCCAAGAAAGAAGAACCGTTCTTCTTCTGGGGATCATTTTTCAAGCTTCAAACATGCGGAGACTTTGAAGAACCGACAGCTTATGATTTTGATCTGACTGCACACCATATGATTCGTTAAAGGTGGCCAACAGACTTCTTTCTGCCAGACTTTTATTCTAAATTTCTAACACTTGTGGGAGTTGTGGCCCCCGGGTCTTAACTAGCTTTAGGGTGTATTTGAGATTAGCTTTTTCCATAGTAAAATATGGATCTAAAATAATTAGTGTTTGTTTCCCGATAGAATGAGAAGCGTTATTCCTCATCCGGTTCTCTCTAGACGCTAAACGCAGAACGCTCCTCCCCTCCAGCGTTTATCAAGAATTTTGGGGTTATCAAAGTTTTTCCCAATTTTAACCTTGAAAACTATTGCTCCACAATGTGCCTATTGGCATCTCCTTGTAATTGGGCATTGAAAAACTAGGGTTTGTTTGCTTGTATTGGGAGTTGCCCACGAATCAAGTAATAAATTCAATACATTTCCCTTAAAAAAAGAATTTAGTATCTTCTCCTGAATATTTTAGAAGTTTGTTGGGTTACACAACAATTTTTTTAATTTGCTTATGAATGGTATGATAAAAGAATCGTGTGCTTGTTATTATTTCTATTTCACTTGTTTGTTTTGATATATAAACAATGATACGGATGAGTATCAACAACAGTAATAATGAACAACAAGAATTTACTACAAATTTTATATATTAATTTACTCCATATTTTCTAATAAGTACTCTATCGTGAGGAAGAAAGATATTCAAGGCCCTTTTAAAGGGATACCGATTAGTCATATGCATAGGAAACCGAGAGTGAAGCAATTGCCATTTCAATAAACTCCGGGGTATTTTAGTAACTTAAAACTTATTAACGTTTTAGACGTGTTCAATTACCAAACAATAAAAAATCAAATTGCTAATCACTAACTCTGATGCTAACAGCTAAACTCTAACTCTAAACTCGCACGTTGTACTTGCAGAGGCCTTATGCTTAGCACATTTGTCTCCCAGCGTAATTACCAGGAATCAAACTCGGGTCTTAGCCCCTGCACCCCTTGTCTTGCCAATTGCGCAACGCCCACCGGCCCTCATCGTAATATATACCGTACAACCGATTGCACAGTATTTTTTCTACATTCACGTTAAGTATTCAATTATGAGTAATTGGATACTCACTTTTGAAAAAGTAAATTTCCATTTTCGAGTAACCAGTTGAAAATGAGTATTCAGTTACTCGAAAATTAGTATTCTGGTACTTGAAAATGAGGACTCACCAAAATAGACCCTATTATTATACAATCTCTCCAATTTTAAATAGACCCTAACTATTACTTACCAAAATAGAATTCAACTTCAAGGATGCATCCAAGTCGTGTGTTTCATCAAGTCAAGTGGATTTTATTCGTTCTTAGTTCTTTGGCTAAAATCCACCATTGGTCCTTCAACTTTATGAGTTGTGCACGATTGGTCCTTCAAGTTTTAAAAGTCCATGAGTAGTCCTTCAACTTTATGAATTGTGCATCATTGGTCCTTCAAGTTTCAAAAGTTCATAAGTAGTCCTTCAAGTACACATTAGCCCTCCAGATGAGGTCCTTTTCACAGTAAACATTAAAAGCTAAATGGAATACTAGTTCCATATAATACGAGTAAATTCCACTAGATACGACTACTCTGTATTATATGGAGCTAGTACTTCATTTAGCTTTTAACGTTTACCGTAAAAAGGACCTCATATGGAGGGTTGACGTGTACTTGAAGGACTACTTATGGACTTTTGAAACTTGAAGGACTAATCGTGCACAACTCATAAAGTTGAAGGACTATTTATGGATTTTTAAAACTTGAAGGACCAATCGTGCACAATTCATAAAGTTGAAGGACCAATGGTGGATCGGAGTTTAGCCTATTTCTTCCAACAAATTCATTCTCACAAGAACCGACCCCTATACTACTATATTATAAATATAAGAAAAAGTTATCTTAAATAGTCTCACCTTTTTATGTTTTTTCAAAAATAATTTCACTTTTCATTTTCACCGAAAATAATCTCACCCTTTTGCATGTGTGTGAGTTTTGGGTCGCCGTTAAAAAATTAACGGTCACTTAACTGAAATTTTAAAAAAATGGTTGTTTTCGCAAATAAGTGAAAGGTTGGATTATTTTAGGTAAATTTACTTTTTCATTTTTTAAATTTAAAAATTTATGTTTTTTAAAATATAACAATATACTCTTGTTAGAGTTTTGTCTCTTTTTTTAAAAAAAAATATACCGTTTTACATATTTTATTTTATGTTCCGGTATTTTATCATATTAGATTATCAAAAAATAATTTTGAGCATTGCTCGAGAAAGAAATTGCAATACAAAAAAATTGTAGTGAATTATATTAGGTTGTGGAGCCTGATTAAAATATATACCCCACCGCCGTGGAAGTTTATTCACGGGGTGTTACAACGTTCTTCACGTGTTTCACTTTCTCTCTCTACCTTTCTAATTTCTCTCATTTTTCATCATCTTCTTCATCTGATTTCTGTGAGTGTTGGATTCAATCCTAACAAGTTGTAAAATTATTTAGTGGCATTTAAAAAAATATTATGTCATTCTCACAATTTTTGAGTTATTCTTTTGGAGAAAAAATTTGTACTCAATTATCGAAAAAAATCACATCCGTTTTAGAAAAATAATACGAGTACTAGATGATTATCAATAAATATTTCAGAATGTTGTTCATGAAAAAAATTACAAAACAACAGAAAGTGGAGTGAGTTATAAAAATAAAAGTTATTCATTTTGTTTCGATATGGTAATTCATTTTGGATATAGGAAGTAAGTAATATAAGTATATAACTAGTTCAAATGGTAAAATAGAAAAATGAAATCAAATGTAATTGTTCACTAATGTACAAAAATATAATACTCTCTCCGTCCCCCTGTATTTGTCCACATTTGACTTTTGGAACTGTTCATCTAAGCACTTTGACTCATCAAATTCTCTCAATGTGTAAGCCTAAATATAGTCATATGTGATCTTGTTTGATTTGTCTTAACATATAGATTATTAATATATAATTTTTATAATTTTTTAATATACAAACTACAAGATAAAATGGATTAAAGAAGTGCATTGGATGGTGTGTAAAAATGAAAGTGGACAAATACAGGGGGGAGGAGAGAGTATATTTATTGTGAGGAAAAATCAATTTCGGGTTTTATCGGTTTCGAATCTTACTGGTTTTGGGTCATATCGGTTTTGGATTTAACCGATGTCGGATCTAATCAGTTTCGGATCTAATTGGTCGTATTTAATCGATTTCGGTTTTAAATTGGGCATAGATATATTTAGTTCGGTTTCGTTCAGTTCGTATCATTTCAGTTATTCAGGTATAAATTGGACTTCATTTTTAGATCATTTAGGTTTCGATTACGATTTCGGATCATTTGATTCAAGTAATTAGTTCCGGGTTTGTTTTGCCAGCTCTAACAATAGATATATAATGAGCATGAAGTTAATAATTTTTAAATGAAAATAAAAGTGTCAACAATGACAAATCTACCTCCAACATTTATTAAGGCATCACCATGTGAGATATCTATAAAATAGATTGATGTCCACCCTTACAACTCCACATTAGTACGGAGTAATTTAAATAATATTACCTCCTACTTTAAAAAAGATCTGTAAATTTTACTTTCTTGTCAAGTTATATAAACTTTAATAACGACTTGTAAAATTGTATATGTAGTTAGGATAATGCTATTTGTAGCTCGAAGATTTATACCCCATTTTATACACCATAGAGATGCACCAATATTTTATATTAGTCTAATGCTAATTTTTGTTAACGTACCAACATTTTGTGTCAGTGTAAATTTTTGTTAACGTACCAACACTTTGTGTCAGTGTGAACCATCAAAATGTTGGTGCATACCTTTGGTGTACAAATGAGGTACAAATTTTGGGGTACATGTAGCATGCTCCATGTAGTTATGATGTACTTCCTCCATCCTAAAATTAATTTCTCACATTGAAAGTCATGAAAAGTCAAATGTGAAGTTAATTCTAGAATAGAGGGTGCATATTTAGTATTGTAATTGTGTTTATTTTAAAAAGTAACTTTGATATACCAAATTTTTATAATTTTTATTTATAAATAAATATAATCATTAATGATCAATGTGTCGCATTGATAATTGTAAAAAGTCAAATTTAAAGATCTTTTTGAGACAGAAGGAATATTAAGACTATATTTCAATATAATGTTTTTTTTTTACTTTTCAACAATTTTTCTTGAACTATACAAAGTGAAACAGGGACGATTAATTCGGAAGAGAGGGAGTATATATATTAGGAGTAAATGAAGTTACAATAATAAGATCAAGGGTGAGGAGGTGGATCAATCTTGATATTGATATACCCTAGAGTGCTCCAAAAGACCACAACTTTTAAAGCAATTAACAGTTGCCTCAATAGTGTTCCTCCAAATAATGTCTTCAATGCTATAGCCACATCCCTCATTTTAAAAGGGCATATTGCAGTTGCCGGCCTTAACCTCGACCGCCTTCTAACACTCCTCTCCTCATGCTCACCCTCATTATTTTGTCCATGGTCCTGTCCGCCCTGCTCGTGCTCGGGCTCGGACAAATCCCGCTCTATCTCAACTTCACGTTCGTCACCTTCATCATCATCATCGTCATTGATATTCTCATTGTCATTCGTTGTCACATCGTTACGATCGCTACTTTGAGTGTTTTCTGCAGTGTCATTCTCGGCTACGTTTTCGTCCACGTCGTTTCGACAGATGGGGCAAGAATTGTGAAGCCTCAACCATGGCACGATGCACTCAGAGTGATAGATATGCTTGCAAGGCAACTCTCTTGCTTCCTCCCCAGCCTCAAACTCTTCCAAGCAAACCGCGCACGCTTTATCGTTTACCAAATGGGACTCCGAGATTTGTCTCTTGGGTATTGCGTCGATAATAGATTCTGGTGCGGGTGGCAGGCCTGTAGGAACATCATCAAGCATTTGCTCCGCGAGTTGTTCCATACCCGCTGCCCCCGGGCCAGAAAGATACCCTCTTCCCATTACTAGTTCCCCGTCCGCAGGTCGTCTGAACTCAGAAACACTTGTGAATCGCCATGATGATACGCCTTGGAAGACGAACACTCTCCATGAATGAATGGACACCATGAATTGACGGGAACATTGGGGACATATTATTTCACCGGGAGACGAGACTCTAACCCCTCCACCACATGGAAAGCACCAGTAGTTGAGCCGGTGATTGTATCTAGTTGCATCATTGAAATCCATAACTCTATCACCCAAACATTGACCACATACCATTCCAGAAGAAGAAGAGAGCGGTGCCACGGGTGAACAACATTGGTAGCACCAATACGGGCGATTTCTTAGTGCAATTTTTTCATAGACGAACCGGAGTAGGTTTCGTAAGGTTGTTGGGGTTATTGGACGACCAGCTTCGCCTTCGGGTGGCCTCAAGTGAACAACATATGCGGGTTCTTGAATCGGTTGTTCAAGCAATAATGTGGTTCCTCTTGATCGCCACCGGTAGGTCGGAGGTGGTTCGTGTTGGTTGTTAGCCTCCCGAAGGAGATGGATTGTAATTCCTTGAATCTCATATAGGTTTGGACTGGAACATTGAGCACATTTGTCGAGCTCAAAAGAATGTGAAACAACTTCATCACACCCGAAGCACAAATAATAAAAATGGAATTGCAATTGCTGCTCATTATTATCCATTCTTATATTATTATAAACTAAATATAACTGGATTCACGATATATCAGGTGGAAGCAAGGGATTAAAGAATTTCAATTCTTCCATGTGCGTGCATGTTAGGTTAATTGAACTAGGTTGAGAAAACGAAGAAATAATGAGCATATATATAAGCATACACTTGTGCATAATCTTATAATTAATTGCAAATTAAGAAACTCGAGATTTCAACAAAGCATATTCCCGTACCTTTTTTTAATCACTCACAAGTATGCTTTGTTTGATCACCAAGCTTTTTAGTAAATCTCACTTTTACATTAATATACGCAATAGAATTTGTACTCCGTAATCCGTATATATTACTATAAATCATTGTATTTCAAAGTTTTCACATACTCCCTCCGTACTAAAACTTTCTTCCCGGTTCGCAAAACGAAGAAAAATCCCAAGTTTTTTCAATCTATTTTATTTAAATATTGGTATAGAAATAAAAAATAAAACATACATATTTAAAAACTACATCAAAAGTTCAACAAAACAAGTAGTGACAAGAATATTTTATTTTATCATATAGGCCATGAAAAAACACAAATAAATATAAATTGCCGCGAAGTTGGAATAGTGCTCTGGAAGAAAGTTTTAGGACGGAGGGAGTATAATATTTCTATACTCAATAAAAGAGTATATATAATGAGAAATTAATAAAGTCACAATGGGATATATCAAGGGTCATCAGGTGCATGGATCAATATAATCTCAGTTCACCTTAGAGTTTTCCAAGCGACCACGATTCTAAAGAAAGTCAAGATTTGGCCCGATAGTTTTAATAATTAATACTTTCTTTTGTGTTTTTTGTCATATATGGAGATGATGATTTGTCTTGATTCTATATCGAATAAGACTTGATTCTTGGAAGAAAAAGGAAGGGATTTTTGTCCCTTATATATGGTAGTAATAGGATGGGAAAACATTGAACTTTTCCCCTGGCTTGAGTGGTAGGAAGCCTACTCCCTAAGATTCATAGGAAAGTTTACCCAGGTTCCAGTTCCAGCGGAGGTGGAAGCATTGACTTTTTGAGCGTCATTAGATTGATAGTATGAAAACATTATTTTGGCTAAATGAACGAGTTTAAAGGAAAAACAACAAACTAAGGTTTTATTTTATCTTCTTGTGTTCATTTTTCAGCCAATGCTTCAAAATAGACATGGAAGACTTTATTTTGCTTAAAAGGAAGAGATGGAGTTTTAATTTTGATATTTTGGGAGTGATGATTTTTGGTGGAGCCATCCATATAAATAACAAACTCAATACTACATATCAAAATGGTTAATTTGAAAGCACTTCTCCAAAGTCATAAGAGCACCCACATTGGATGGTGGAGTAAAGGGAGGACTACTCCTTCTCTCTTCCACATCAGATTTTGTGGACCCAGGATCCAAATCCTCCATTTACTCTTCCTTATCTCTTACATCAAAAGGATTACTAAAATATTATTCATTATACTCCTTAAATGATTTTTTATTAAATATTTATACTATGTACAATTATATGAATTTACAAATTAATGAAAAATATAATTGTACTTCAATTTTTTTATGGTTTTGATAATAAAATTGTAATTCATTAATAAAAGTAAAAAGTTAATTTAATATATTTTAACAAAAAATATTTAATTTAATTATACTAATTATGCTAAAATATTTAAAAATTATTTGTAGATTAAAATTAAATTAAGATATTTAATTCAATTTAATTTAATTATGCTAAAAAATAAATTAAAATATTTATATTAAGTTTGAACCCATCCTATATGTGAAAATTACGGAGTACCCAAATAATTGTAAAAAAAAAAAGTAGTGCTATCCAAATGAACTCATGCCAAGTGGCGTCCCAGGATTTGCCTTTTCATTCAAATTTTTCTCTTCTCCGCTTCTCTCTCGAATTTCACGCCGGAGGAGTTCTCCTCCTCCTCTCCTCCATCTGATGTACTTAGTCTTCCTGGAGGACTTCTTCTTCTCCAGCTTAGTTCTCCGCCTGATGCGGGTGGCCTAAGCAAATCCTATCGAGTTGGAAAATGTTGAGGCATCTCCACAATTATCACATATGCCGTATGGATTGTGTTGGTTGAAAATCGAAATATTTGAAAAATTCACCCGAGGGAGGGAGTTATTGGTCGTTGAGATATCACCCTATTTAACAAATACTCCATCCGTCCCAAAAAGATTTACATCTTTCAAAAAAATTGTGTCTCATGATCTCCTACTCATTTCTATTAAAAAACCACTTGTATCCCTTACTTTTTCAAACCCTACATATCACATCATACTTTTTTCCTTATAATCTACACATCGCATCCTACTTTTATACATCAAATCAAGGTTATTTTTGGAAAGTCAACACAAAATTATTCCTTTCTTAATTTCCACTTTAGTCAAAATGTGTAAAACTTTTTGAGACGGAGGAAATATTAATTATGTTGGGGTATATTTTATTTTCAAAGCGAGAAAATAAAATAAAGAACATAAAATATAAAATAATGATATGATGAGCATGTGCTTGGTGAGCTACATATAGGGGTGTGCACTGGTCCAAAACCGGACCAGAATTAGAATGGACCAAAATCAAAATTGTCTATTTGCAAAGATCGAAGACCAGACATGTTTGATACTGGTCTAGACTTGAATTTTTTGGTCCGGTCTGGGTTTACCCTATCGTGGACCCGATTTTAAACATAAAGGATGTAAAATTATTGTCAAATCTTAGTTTTAGTGAGTATTATATATTAATTTAAAAAAAAGAAGCATCAAAGATAATTGGAAGAAAAAACCAGCGTAAAGCAGCGAACATAATGGAAAAAAAAACAGCGAAGAGAACTAGGTAGTGGGTAGTGGCTTTCATCAAACAAATTACCATCTAAGAATTTACAATTTGCCTAAAATTGAATACTTCAAGTATAGTAAAAAAGTTGAAATTAAGTAACATATCATGATAAGAGCTAGACCTGGCAAAAAATGACTCGACCTATTTTTGACCCGAAACCCGACCCAAAAACATTGGGTTTTGAACAAAGGTTTTTATGACCGAACCCGAAGTTGACCGAACCCGAAATGACCTGCTAAAAATGGGTCAAACCCGACCGAACCCGAACCCGACCTGACCGACCTGTTAAAGTAAGAATTTTTCAAAATCATACACTTTACTACTCGTTTTTAGTGTATAAATTTATATTTTCAGGTAAAATTTTAATGATATTGCATAATTATCTTACTTTTTTTTAAAACTTAAGCATTTTTTAAATTCCTTATATTGATTTATATATCTAAAAATTACTTCATAATTTAAAATAAAATAATCTAATAAATTTAATACATTGTTTTTGATATTTTAAACTTATTAAATAGAAAATGTAAGTGTTAATGTGAATTTAAAAAGAGTAAATTCCATAATTGGTCCTTTATAAGAGGGGAGTTTCCATATTTAGTCCTCTATTATCAAATATTACCACCGTAGTCCTTTTTTTAAAGGTACCTTTCCACAATGGTCCTTTTTGTTATCTTCTACCGTGTTGGTGTTAATTTAAAGGCTAAAAGTATAATTTGACATCAACATTATGTCCTTGATGTGTTCTGATATTGGTTAAGCAGATAACACAAAAATAATGACTATGATTGTGGGCTAGGATTCTGACAAAAGACCATATTTATAGACTATCGTTGTAGTAGAAAACGACTGTAATTCACAAACGATGTAAACGGAATAGTCTTTGGAATTGTGTATGACAAAAAAGATATATTATCATTGTGAAATTACACTTTTAGCCCTCAAATTAACACCAACATGATAGAAAATCAAAAAAAGGACTATTTGTGGAAAGGTACCCATAAAAGAAGGACTACTAGGGTAATATTTGATAATAGATGACTAAATAGAGAAACCTCCCTGTTATAAAGGACTAATTATAGAATTTACTCATTTAAAAATTTAAAAACCAAAGTCATAACCCGTTGGGTCAACCCGAACCCGATGACACTGGGTCATGAACATAGAGTTCTCAACCCGAACCCGAATTGACCCAAACCCGAAATAACCCGAACTCGAAGTGACCGAACCCGAACCCGACCTGACCGACCGATTTGCCAGCTCTACTAAGAGCCTAAAAGAACTTTAAAAAAAGTTGAATTCCAAAATATAAATATTAACATATTAAAATATACCGTTCGGATAATTTTGGATTTAGACCTGGCCTGACTCTGGAACGCAGAATTCCAAATTTGTTAAGACCGGAGACTGGACCTGAATCTTTTGGACCGGTCCAGACCAGTCTGTTCCAATCCGGTTCAGATTTAAATTTTGGTTTGGACGTGTTAATGCACAACCCTAACGACATATCTCACTTGATATATGGAGGTGTCGTGTGGAACTGAGAAAAAATAAAGAAAAGATTTGAAAGAGAAAAAAGTGGGTGCCTACCTTTGTGGTGTTGGTGTGACCATTGGAGAAAGAAAAATGGGTATAGTTGGCTACCTTCTTTTACTTCATCATTGGCATGAGGGTCCAGTATGCTTATAAAAGGAGCCAAAGTTCACATTATATGTGTGCCCCCTAGTGCCTCCTTGTGTAGAGAAGAGAGAGGAGAGAGAGAGGGGTGCTGATAAGTCGATTTTTGGTTAGTACTTTTTATTGCTTTTTTAAGTATTTTTAATACTTTTAGATTTTAATTTTTAGTTGTTTAGCTTATTTTTATTTTAATTCTTATTTTTTACAATCTCTTAATTTTCTTGAATAAATAGTAGTTTTTAATCACTTTTTACATTTTATTATTTTATTTTTTCCTAACCCAAATTATCAGATATCTTATATTTTTTTTTGGAGAAAAATGTAGCAAAAATACCAAAATGCAATTCAAGTTTGGAAAGAAGATATTAATTTTGGGCCGAAGCCCAAACCCATCAACAAAAAAGAATTAGCCCAGCATTATCTCCTCCTCCCTCTTTAGCTTCACGCAAAGAAGAAAAAGAGAACGCGGCGGCTCTCCTCCTCGTCAAGACGCCAACGGATCGAAGTAAACGCCATCTTGCAACGTCTCTCCACAAATCTCGCTCATGGGCTCTAACGGTAAAAATTTGAAGGCCCTTTGCTCCTCATCTCCTATAAATTGAAGACGAATTGCAACAAGACAAGGGGGGAAACAGAGGGGAGAAAAAGACGACAAACCGGCGACGGAATCAGTTCCGGCGAGCGGTCGGCAGTAGCTCCGGGCAGAGGTTAGGCTGTTTCTTCAAGCTTCAATTCCTCAATTTGTTCATTTTCTTCAACAAAGTGGTAACCCTTGTTTATCAATTTTTATTTTTTTTTCTCTATTTCTAGGTAAAAGTTTGTTTTTTATTCAATTTTTACATGTTTGTTTGCTTGTTGTGTTAATTTCAAAAATTCCAAAAATGGTTGGTGTTCTTTTTTTGGGGTTTTTTAATGTTTATATTAAATTGAAGATGAAAGAATTACAGTAGAAGTACGAAGACGAAGTAGGATCAAATTGCAAATCCAGGTCAGTTCTGTAGAAATTGAAGGGCAGTAATTGAGTTAGGTGTCATTTCAAATTTTGATAATGGAATAGAGTTTTAAAAATCTAGACAAATCCTAACAAATATCATAATATAATACATTAAAATCTATTGAAGTCTAAGAAGAATTAAAATAATCCATAAGTCTTATATAATCCATGAATTATAAAAAATCCAACACAATCATTCAAAATCTGAATTGAATACACCCCCTAAAACTTATTCCAATTAGATCGGAACCATTGAGATCAGGTGAAAGAGAACATTGTTGTAGCCCCTGAGAAAGGTGAGAATTTTTTAGTGTTGAGAAAATTCTCACGGAGATAAAATATTAATTGGAGATATAGTATTGTGATATTGTTCTACTCAATTGATATTATAGTGAAAAAATTTAATCGAAGAGGATCGTGGTGTTTCGCCTAGTTAAGGGGTTTCCACGTAAAAAATATTGTGCATTGTTTTTTTATTTTTCTGCACACATTTTTGTTCTTCTACTACCTCCATCCCATTTTATAACGCTTGTTTCGGTTTACGATGTTTGACTGAAATTATTTTCAAACCATTTTATATGATAAATGGTATAGAATTAAAAAATAAAAATTACATATTAAAAAACTACATCAAAAGATCTACAAAACTAGTAGTGACACTAATATTTTATTTTATCAAATTGCTAACGAAAATAGAGAAAGAAAGGGAATGAAGTTTGACCCTGTGAATAGTAAACAGGCATTATAATTTGGGATAGAGGGAGTAATATTTATCATTTGAGAGAGTATTGTTGTTCGAGGGTAATTTTTCCTAACAGAAAACACTCCGTATAAATTCAGTAGTCCAAACTAATTACTTACATAAAACTCCATATTATAAATGATTGTATTTCAAAGGCATTCTATGCTCAATATATATATAATGAGAAATCAATGAAGTTACAATGGGATCAAGGGGTCATCAGGTGCATGGAACAATCTCAGTACGCCTTAGGGTGTTCCAAACGACCACGATTTTTTAAGAGAGTCAAGAGTTGGCGCAATAGCTTTCCTTGGAATGTCTTCAATGTTGTAGCCATATCCGTCATTTTGAAAAACCACAATGCAATCCCTGACCGCCTTCTAACGGTCCTCTCCTCATGATCACCACTACTTTCCACGGTGCTATTTCTTGCTTTATCTGCCACATTTTTTCGACAGACGGGGCAAGAATTGTGAAGCCTCAACCATGGCACAATGCAATCAGAGTGATAAATATGCTCGCAAGGCAACTCTCTTATTCCTTCCTCCCCGACCTCAAATTCGACTTTGCAAACGGGACACTCTTGGCTTGTTACCAAATGCGATTTCAATATTTTTACTGCGGGTATTGCACCAATTATAAATTCTGGTACAGGAGGCGGGCCTTTAAGAACATCATCTCCCATTGGCTCCACGATTTGTTGTATGCCAGCCGCCCCTGGTCCAGAACGATATCTTAATCCCAGTAGTAGTTCTCCTCTCGCAGGAGGTCTGAAGTTAAAGCAACATATTAATTTCCATGACAAGCCTTGGATGACGATCACTCGCCACAATTCAATGCCCGCCATGAATTGACGAAAACATTGAGGGCATTTTATTCCACAAGGAGATGATGATGAGACTCTAATGGGTCCTTGACATGGAAAGCACCAGTAATTGAGCATGTGATCGTATCTAGTTGCGTCACCGACTCTCGTAACTCTACGACCCGAACATTCACCGCATTTGATTATTCCAGAATAAGGTACTCCTGCCACAGGTCTATGGCATTCGTAGCACCAATATCGCCGATTTCTAAGTGACATTTCTAAGAAAAACCGAAGTAGGTTTGCTATGGTTCGTCCGGGTATCTCATGAAGATCCAATTGGCCTTCCGGTGGCCTTAAGTGCATCACATACGTAGGTCGCCGATACGGTGATTGAAGAGACGGGATTGCTCCTTGTTGAGTATTACAATTGTTTCTTGATTGCCACCCATTGTTTCTTGATTGCCAATTGTAAGGTTGGAGTGGTTCTTCTTGTTGGTTGTCATTATTATTATTATTATTAGCCTCCCCAATGAGATGCATTGTAACCTCTTGAACCTCATACAGGATTGGACTGGAACATCTTGGACAATTGTTGAGCTCAAGAGAATGTGAAACTGCAGTATTACACCCTAAGCACCAATAATAATAACAATGAAGGTGCTGATTATCCATTGTTATAAATTAATAACCAGCTTAAATTCACGATGTGTGTGTTTCAACTATATATATAAAAAGAAAAGAAAAGAAAATTTCCAAGATGCAGATTGAGGAAATAAACACTTCATATTCTATCTCATTTATAGGCATATATAATTAATTAATGTACAAACTCAAGATTTGAACAAAGAATATTCTCGTATCTTTTATGAGTCCTCTTCATTTACAAGTATGCTTTGTTTGTTGACCAAGGTACAATTTTTTTGTCTCGAATTATTTCTCCAATTTTATTTTTTGTTCATTTTATCTGAATAAACTTTGTTTGTTAATTAATTAAATAAAAATTGCATCATGTATTAATGCAATAAGATAAATAAATACTCCGTAACTCACAAAAGTTTGAGGCAGAATCTACATTCCCTTCAATAAGCTCAATCACCATGTGAACACTAATTGATGAAGATATACTACGTATATGTTATTCACTTTTCAGAGGGTAATTTAATTTGCAATTGTTGAATTTACCGACTTTCATGTGCAGAACGTCTTTCTTTGTCTTTTGTATTGTTTGGGCTTTGTTGTAGATTTGGGTCTTATTTTTATGGGCTTAATTTTTTGGTTGTATTCCCCTCCCTTTTTTTTTTTTATTTAACTAAAGGTGTTTGTAATGATAGGTCTTTACTCTTATGTGGAGGTTTAACCACAGCTAGTTTTATTTATACCTATCAATCGCTTCGCTTATGGTTCGGATTTTTTCAATCTAGGTCTCTTTTAGGTATATTTTATTATCGGTTTGAGTCAGTTTGATTTTAGGTTTAATTCAGTTTGATTTTTTTTCGGGTTCGGTTTGGTTAGATATCAGTTTCGGATTTATATCGATTTTATTTTATACCAGTTTGTGTTTATATTAGTTGGGGTTTATACCGACTTCGCATGAGATTTGTTTGTATTAGAGTTTCTATTATTAGCCTTATGTGTAGCCTCCCCTCCCTATGTGTAAAGAGGGGTATATATGCAATGTCACTAATAATGGGCCAACATATTGATTAATGTGTGTTACGATGTTCCTATAAATTGTTTATATTGTGTATAAAAATAAATAATCACTTTGGTTTAAGTGATAAAATATGGAGTAAAAGATTTTTACATAAAATCAGTTGCATACATATAATTTAAACATGCTTTTCTTAAAAAGATATCAATAGCTAATATCATATTTTATATAATTTGAACTCAAAGTTTAACAATTTTGACTGAAAAAAGTCAAAAGTGGACAAATACTCAGGGACGGAAGAAGTATATGTTTTAGTGTTTTATGAAAAGAAATCTTTTAAAAATTTTTTTACTCAGAAAATATATATATTTTTTCCCAGGTATGCAAGTTATGACACAGAGTCCTTTAGCTAAGGTGGTCGCAAGGTGAACATGAAGATCAAGAGGTCTTGAGGTCGATATCTTACAGGCTAACATTTTGGACGATTTTTCGCAAAAAAAATAAAAGAAAACTGGTTTTCGGTTCGACCGGGCGGTTTCTATTGGTTTTCACCGGTTCGCACCGGTTCGTTGCTGAAGCGGTCTTGTGCCCCGGACCGGATCGGTTTGGGCGACGGTTCACCGGTTTCTGGTCCGAACCGACCGATCCGGTCCGGTTTTTAAAACTATGACTATACGTCACGTCTTGTGCCAATCTTGACATATATTAAAGAAATATTTGCACTAAATAGTACTAAAACTTAAGTTATTTTCCTAAATAGCACATAAATTGTTTTATTCCTTAAACAGCACTTAATAATGTCTAGTGATGGCGAATATTTACTTAAATAATGACTAATGTATAATGACCAAAAGTGCAATATTGGAAAAAAACACATGTCATGTTATTCAGGGAAAGTCATTATGTTTAGTACTATATACGTAAATTCCCCTGTATTAAATAGCTAATAGGCCTTTAGTATTTGAACTATGACATAATATATCGTTTAAGTGACTTTATGCGTGAACTGCCACCTCTTGTCGCGAAACATTCAAATGTTTAAAAGTTAACATTCGAATATATTAGGTCTTTTAGTAAGGAAAGCTAGAGATAAACATTACATAGGAATGTTTAGCATAATCAATGGTTTATACGAAGCTTTGTTTTATTCTTTGTTAGAGTCTCTTCTTTAGTAGGAGTTTAACTCCTTCATCATGCGACTGCTAAAGGATACAGTCTCTTCTATGTTAGGAGGGTAACTCCTTCATCCGACTGCTAAAGGATAGTGCAGTGACACCCTTGTGTCCTTGTTGCTTCTGAAAATTCAAAACATTTTCAATGTAAGGAACATAGTAGGAAGAAAAGACTAAATAAAAATAAAACATATTGAAAAAATTAAAATAAGATCTTCATGTTTTTTCTCAAAATAAAACTTATAATGTGAATTATTCTAACATATAATAACAAAAAACTAAGAAATATCAATATACGATATTACATTATTACATTGGAATTGCACGTTTTATTTTAAGGATAAAACATGTCACTCTTATTTTAGAAATAACTAGTACCACACCCGTGTGTTGCACGGGTCATATTTACGTTATTAGATTAAGATCATTTTTTGAAAAATACAAATTAATATCTAATAGAATATATAGATTTTATTATTTTCAGGTACAAAGTAATTAAAAATTATTGAATTACAATATTTAACATATACACTCCTTCAGGATCTGTCATAGTTTTTGCACTTAAACCTGGAATCAAGATAACATCATTCGTTGGTATTTTCAATACCAACCACATCACCAATTATCTAATAATATCCTTTCTGCAATTAAATCTTAAATATATGTGTATAGTTTTAAAAATATAAATAAGTCAAATCAAAATTTTGGCCACAAATTTTGTTCATATTTAATGGTTTTTTACCATTTTTCTTGCCGAACTAATAATAAAATGGAGAGCTTTATATACCACATAAAAATAAAGGAATATTATTTAAAAACATAAAAAAAATTAGCGAGGCTAATTACGAAAGTGATTGAAAATGACCATATTTATAGTATGAAAATTTTTGTTCCTTTTTTCTATTCAATGGCATCAATTTTTGTTATAATTTATAATTTTCGGAACAAACCTATCCCTGTAATAAATGGAAAGTTTTTAAATATTCACGCCTCTATTTCGGGGTACACTATAATTAATGGCACCATTCACATTTATTATTATTATTATTATTATTATTATTATTATTGTTGTTGTTGTTGTTGTTATTATTATTTTTATTGTTATTGTTATTATTATTATTATTATTATTATTATTATTATTATTATTATTATTATTACCATATAAACATGTGTAGGTAACCGTTGTTAATTGACGAAATAGAAGACAAATTACCATTTCTAAATTCAACACTTACCATATATTATCTCACACTTATATATATTTTTTTATATTCTTCCAACCAAAATAAGGTATAATTATCTTCTACGATTGTCATTATTATTACACTTATTATCATGTTTATTATTATTTTTATTATTCTTATTATTATTACATTTATTATTATTACGATATACACATATATTTTTGTATTCTTTCAACAAAAAATAAGGTATAATAAATTTAGCTTAATAATAAAAACTAAAATTTTTTATTAAAGAAATGAAAACTTTTTATTAAAAAAATACTTGGACTTGTTTTGGGAAATGTACTAATAAGCCTTGTCAGCCATTTCATAATAATAAGTATAATTTTGGGACACACTATAATTAATGACGTCTCTTTTTTTATAATTTATAATTTTATCAGAACAAACCTAGTTCTCTAACAAATGAAAACTTTTTAGTAATGACGTCTATTTTGCGGTATACCATAATTAATGGCACCATACACATTTATTATTGTTATTATTGTATGGTACATCAAACACACTCATATTTCTGTAATTGTTTATATTCTTAACATTTTTATTTTACTGTTTTCATTACTATTTTGATGAAAAGGTAATAATTATTTCATCCAAAAATAATATATTTCTATAAGAAGTGATAATGTAACGTAAATATGTAAACGGTTTCCGAAAAGGAAACAAAATATAAAATAATTTATTTATATAAACTTTTGTTTAGTACCTGAATTTTACAAAATTGGAAGTGATATAATAAAAAAATTTATTACCATTTTTTTTTATTACTATTTCAATGAAAACGTAATTATAATGTATGGTACATAAAATGCACTCATCTTTGTTTAATTATTTATATTCTTACCATTTTTATTTTTAGTATTTTTATTAGTATTTCGACGAAAAGGCTAGGTAATAATGTATTTCTTCCAAAAATAATATATTTCCATAAAAGGTACTCCCTCCCTCTTGAAATGATCTTTCCATGATTTTTATTGGTCAAAACTTTGACCTTGATGTATGGAAAAAATACATTGTATTTCGATATAAATATAATATCAATAGTTTCCTTATGAAACGTAATTTTGAAATATTAAATTTACATAAAATATATCTATGTATAAATGTAGATATTAATAGTCAAAGTATAACTTGGAGACCGCGAAAAGTCAAATGAGAAAATCATTTCTGAATGGATGGAATATTAATATAACGTAATTATATCAACGGCTGGGTTCTAGAGCCACTCAAAAAGAGTGGCTACGGAAGCCACTCACCCAATTGGGACACCTACGGTGCTCCGTTCGCAAAATTGATAGTTCCTAACTCCTCTAGCCCCCCGGTAAACCCCCACCCGGTTCGGACCCCAACTCATCCTTCTAACCACGTAAATTGCGGGGTGCAAATTTAGTTGACTTTGGAGTCAAAAAAATTAACATCAAAGGTAAAAAGTTAACATTATTTATATTTATTTTAATAATGTATATTTTAGTTTATAACCAAAATTTTCATAAAAAGTAATAAAAATTTATTTCCTCTTTAAAAGGTAATAATGTGCCGTAAGTGAAATTAATTATCTCTATAAAAGGTAATATATTACCATAAGATTGAAAGCTAAGCGTAAAATTTTTAAAAGCTATTAAAATCTTTCCATAATTAAATTGACATTATATAAAAGATATATTGGGCAATAGTGTAAAAAAGTTTCCTAAAAATAAACGTTATTTCAAAACTATTTCCATTCTTACCTTTTTTTAGCTTAGTATTTTTATTGTTATTTCAACGTAATACATGCCTAACAAAAATAATATAATTATTCAACCGTTTAACAATTATAAATTATTAAACACGTGAGCGTTCTATTTCAATATTATTAAACACGGAAACTTGATATATTATTAAAAATTCCATAATATAATACGTCATATGACATTTATTATTAATCATTACACATGTAAACATTACTCCGTATTAATTATTAAGCACAATTATACATGGAAACGTTCCAAAGATGAATAATGGCCGTGGATCAAGATTCTGACGCTAATAGACAGCTCACAACGTAGGTGCGTTTGGGCGGGAAAAATTTCCCCTGCTTTTAAGAATAGTATAGATGATTATATTTAGCTAATTTTTTGTATGACTTCTTTCCACCAAAATCAAATATATTAAGTACTTTGGTTTCGCGTCATTCAATTCATTACCAAAGTGTTCATAATACACATGTCTCATTCGAACTTTTAGTACATATACTTGTTTTTTCCTTTTTATAAACTTGAGGGGCATGCATTTTTTTAAAAACAATTCAGGAGATAAAGTACATACTTTATATACTTTATAACAAATTTGGGGTAAAAAATATAGTAGTCTTTTACAAAAACTATGAGTAATGGTTGGAATTCTCACATTAGAAAACAAAGAGAAATAACACTTGCATATATAGAGTCATGAAGCTATACCTATTAGTTTAAACTTTTGAGTTAAAAAGCATATCTTAACTTTATATGCAATTGATTAATTTTAGCCCGCACTCTACATGTTGTTCTTGGCCAACCAAAATTTTAACATGGTATCAATGTAGGTCTGGTCCGGGTTCGATTCTACGTACCTAGTTATTTGGATGTGGGTTAGTTTAGTGATATGAGTTACATGTATGTGGTTTGGTTTGAGTTGGCGGTAAGAGATTGAAAAGGCACCACCTATTCTAAGTATAAAAAATTGAGATGTTAGACTAGTTTGTCTAAGTAATAACTAGGCCAGACTAGTTGCCACTTGAGATGAAGTATAGTAGTCTTTTACATTGTAAAATAAAGAGAAATAATACACTAGTATATATAGAAAGATGAAGCTCTACATATTCGCTTAAGGTTTTGGGTAAGAAAATGGATCATACTAGTAGTTAATTTTAGCCGATACTCTGCCCGCTGTTCTTTACCCGTCGAAATTCTAACAGTAATGGTGCACTTTTAAAAGTTTAAGGGGAAACACACTTTATCATAAAGAGTTCAAGAATAAATGATGCAAAAAGCCCTTAGCGTATACTACAGACTAACATCTTTTGTTTCAAATTTTAATTGTTTTAGAGCCTATTCTTTGGAGTTAGAAAAAAAGAGTTGAATGTTGAAAAGAACTACAAAAACTTGAAAAAATTGAAAAAAAAATGGAACAAACTGAAAACAACTACTAAAAAAAATGGAACAGACTGAAAAAATGGATCAAACTAAAAACAAATATATAATCTAAGAAACTAAAAAAACTAGAAGAAATTTTAAAGAATAAAGTATTTTTTATTAGTTTAACTCTTTTTTCTATTACTTTTGGAACATAATTTAGTGTCATGCATGTAAATTGAGAACTCTTTTTTCTATAACCTTTGGAACATAGTTTAGTGTCATGTGAATAAATAAACAAAAAATTCTACTCGTAATACTTTTACTAGACTAGTAGACTAGGAGTTGAAAAAAACTAGGAGTTCAAAAAACTGGAAGAAGTTGAAAAAATTGGAAAGTGTTGAAAAACTGGAAAGAGTTGGAAAATTTTTGAAAGAGTTCAAAAAATAAAAATATTAAAATAATTATTTTATTTTATAAATTTCATATTTTATTTAAAAACGTATGCTCTACTTTTTAAAATTTTTATCTCTTCTTATTTTATTTTATCTCAAATCCTATTTGTAGTTTTCTGTGACTCACAATTTTTCTTTATTTTATAAAATCAATATCAATCATATAATTGTTTTTTGTTTTATGCCACTACTTTGTGTAACAAAAATAAGAAGACAAATAAAAGAATACTTTTCTAGAGTTGGGAGATGTTGGGATTAAACTTACAATTTGTTTTTCTCTCCTTTTGATAATTTTTGTTTGTTTACGTAAATTTATTAAATATTTGATAAAATAAAATATTTTTGTCACTTCTTATTTTGTAGAATTTTTGACCTATTTTTTTTAATATGTAACTTTTGTTTTTTATTGATATATCGGTGAGTGACTTTTGTTGGTTAAAAGTGCTGCATTGAGAAAAATTCTTCTATGTTTTAGTGCTACTTAGATAAATTCTATTTAGGGAAGGTCATTATGTTTTAATGCTATTTAGATAAATTCTTCTATTAACTATGAGTCAATCTCTCTTTTTCCTTCCGGTGAGGGACTTGACTTTGCACCCAAGCAGAAGATGAGAAGGGAGTAAAATTTCCATAAATTATTACCTGGAGCAGAAGTTTCAATATTGGGATGATCAAAGTCACCATGTGGGTTAACTCTTCTATGTCTTGCTTGGAAAGGCCACAAACAACCTCCAAGCTCCCTCCATCTTGGCCTCCTCCTCCTCCTCTCCTCCTCCACGCCACCACCACCACCACCGATCCCGATACTCACCTCCTGTCGGCAAACGGGACAAGAATCGTGGAGCCTCAGCCACGGAACAATGCAATCGCTGTGATAAATATGCTTGCAGGAGGGCAAGACCCTCGCTTCCCCTCCCACCTCAAACTCTTCCATGCAAACGGGGCAACTCCTCGCTGCCCCGTTTGCCAGATGAGAGTCCGTGACTCTCAAAGTGGGTATTGCAAGGATCGAAGATTCGTCCAACGGAGGCGGGCCCGGACGGTCGTTCTCTGTTATTATTTCTTCTATCAGTCGTCGTTCCAGACCGCCCGGGCCCGCCTCCCTCGGCGGTGTCTGCATTAACGACGTCTGCGTTTCCTGATCGTCGTGCCCTCCCGGGCCCACACCCGGAGGACGGAGTTGCAGAAAGAGAAGAGCTTGGAGAAGAAATGGATCAAATGGCGTGAAATCAACAAGAATTCTTGGGGTTCTTTCAGCTCTAATACCATTATTACTATTAGTGTTATTACTATAATTATTTCTTTGAATCTCTGAGGGGAACCTGCTGTGGAAACAACGAGGGCATAAGATGAATTCGTGGGATGACGAAGATGAGAGTATTCTCACATATCTATGGCATTGGTAGCACCAAAAGTAGTGATAATTTATGCCATCCTCGTCCATTATTCTTAGCATGCTCATTTGTATATATTGGTTAGTACTTTATAATTTTGGGTTGAGAGAGGAGGAATAAGTATGAAAGAAGAAGAAATCATGTAGACAACGTAACCAAATAAATACATTGTGCATACGTAACTAAGACACATAATAATAAAATGTACTGTAGTATACACACTTATGAAGAAAAGCATGTCTACCGTTTTCTATAGCATACCTTCTTATTCTTCTAAGGTTATTGCTTCTTGTCTTGGGCATTTATTCTTGCATTGTGTTAGAGAACCCCCCGCCCAATCATATACTATATACTCTCCCCTTAATTTATTGTGTTAGTTTAACTTCACCCAATTGAAGAAAACTTTAAAAAAGATAAAAATGTAGACCACATCTTCTTTACTGCATTCAGAAATTAAAGAAGTGAGACAATCTTTTAAGAATTGATTGGAAAAGAAAGTAAGATGATTGATTCGGGACGTACAAATTGGATCCTGAATATATTTGTCTTAGGCATTTGCTGCTTCTTATCATCAAACAAACATGCATGTCACCTTCATTTTCAACCGCTAGTCCCAAAAATGACATTTTTATCTAATGTGAAATTTATACTCGGTACTATATATATATGACTAAAACATATAACATTTCCTAATAACGTAAGAATTAAATTTTTTTATTTTTCTATATATATAGGACTTAATAATAATATGTAGTGGAAGAAATAATATTCACTGATGGTGGACATTTACATGAATAATAATGATGAATAAATAAGAGTTTATTACTCCGTAATATTTCTTTTGGATCATAATGAAGAAATGATAATCGGTTAAATATACAAAATATATGAGGGATGAGATTAAGCCCATAATTAATTACGTGCGAACGAAAGCACGACTCAATATCTAGTACAATGCTAGATCTTGAGTTCAATGTAGACAAGCAGTTCACATAGTAATTGCAAACACTAAATAATGTTGAATATCATCTCAGGATAGTATTTGGTACTGCAATGTAAAAGGGGATTGATAAATCTCTTAATATATCTTCTGACAAAGTGTTACGATTGCAAAACATAACTTAAAAGATCTACCTATATGAACATGAAGTGTGATCGCTTCGCCAAGTTGGAGGTTTAACTTGGTTATGTTCACAAATGGACATGGACACATGCCTGGACAAAAAGTGTCAAGTTTTTAGTGTACTTTAAGAAAAATTTTTGCATGTAATATCTTAAATACTTCAAAGCGGTTAATAGTTCAAAGCATATTGTACTACTATGACTCAGAATATTGTAAAGTGTATTACACTAAGTGAAAGTCGTTCAATCTGCGTGACACTCGATCTCATTATGACTGGGGTTTTGAAATTTGTTTTGTGGCAAGAATTAAGTAATTTGTAATTAGAAATAAATGGAGGAGGGATTTCTCGTTGGAAATTTATTTGAATTCAACATTTAATTCTAAATAAATGGGCACAACCCTTTGAAAAGACACGTGCATTCTTAAATGACGTGACTCTTCAATATTTGTTTTGAATTTAAATTGAAAGCTTTTTAAAAAGTGGGTGTCTTTTACAAAAGAAGCATGATCATTTATAAAGGGGCATATCATTTTCTATAAATAGGGCCCTTGTCACAATGTGAGAAAAGAGAACAAATGTTAGAAAAACAATACTCCCTCCGTCTGGAAATGTTCTTCCCGTGTTGACTTGGCACGCTTATTAAGGAATAGTAAAAAAATGCAAAATTTTCAAAAATACACATACTATAAGCTTTTAAATCTCCTTTTAAAAAGTATTTTAAAAGTAGATTTGTGATAAAATAGAAGGGTATTATTGATATTTAGCCTTAAAAAGTATACTAAAAAAGGAAATGAGAAGAATATTTGCGGACGGACCAAAAAGGAAAATGGGAAGAATATTTCCAGACGGAGGGAGTATATTGTTAATTGTGATTTTATTAATTATCTAGAATAATGAAGAAATAATTTATTTCTTGAGTGATTATTCTAGGGAAATTATGACTTTCCCTAAATAGCATCACATGTGTTTTTTTTCAATGTAGCATTTTTAGTCATTATCTATTAGTCCTTAATTATTCAAGTAAATGTTCGCCATCACTGGACATTATAGATATTATTAAGTGCTATTTAGAAAAGAAAACAGTTTAAGTGTTATTCCGTATTATTTAGAGAAGCGACTTAAGTCTTAGTGCTCTTTAATACAAATATTTCATTATTCTATGATGATGAAATATTAATTAATAATAGTATGTACAAGAATAATGTATTATTAATTATTATTTCATTGATGGTCTATAATAATTAAGAAATAATGTATTTATTTCTTATGTTTATTCTATGATGACTGATGATAATGTATACATGAATAATTTATTAATAATTATTTTTCTAGGTTTTTCGCCCTCTTTGTCTAGAAATAATTATTTTTCACATCGTTATCCCACATTTTTCAAACATGGTACATATTTTTTTACAATACTCATAATTTTAGTAAATTTATCTAGAAAATAATAAAAAAGTCAAACTAAAATATTCTAGGATGTTTTATATATGTATTTTGTTTTTCTATTATTTGTTTAATTCAAAATGCGAGTGCTAGTATAACTTTAAATATTTTAGATTAATAATATAGCGCGTTAGGTCGATTCAAATCTGATTATACTCGGTCATGAACATATAAATGTGTAATTTTCAACCGAATTAAAATTTATCCAAACTCGATGTTCAAACTAGGAGTGACCAAATTCCAACTTGACCTTGGTCAATTTACCAGATCTATACAAATAAACGAATCGTCACTCATTACACTCCACATATATTTTTCGACTTCCTCCGTTTCATAAAATATTTCAACTTTTTCATCTTATCATCCCATAAAACATTTCAATTTCTTCAAAGTGGACTAAAATACTTTTCTTTAATCTTACTTTCTCACATCTCATTCGTCACATCTTATCATACTTTTATTTTTTAATTACTCTTTCTTATTATTCTTAATTATTTATTGATTCTCCATATTAAAATTCACTTTTAAAAAGAACCCTAGAATATTTATGGAAGGTCAAATACTAAAATACACTTATATTTAATCAGTGTTTAAATTTGGACCGGACGGGGTGATTCGACCGATCGAACCGCGACCCGGACACACAACCGGTACGGTCCAAAGCTCCAAACATCCAGAAAAAAACCGGGTCGACCCAAACAAACTCGTGACCCGTCCTCTCCGCCGGGTCGACCTCCGGTCGGGGTTTAAAAATTAAAATCATTGTCTTTAATCACCCAAAAAGCCGGCTCTGACGGGGGATAGACTCGAACCATATAAACACGCCCAAACAACCTTCCGGTTTCATCCCACAGGAAAGATTGGCTTGCTGTGACAATTCATAGCTCTTGCTTCCATCCGACTTTCTCAGCCTCAGGTACTTCTCATTTCCACGCTTCAATTCCCAACCATATCAAATATCCAAACAACAAATTAAGTATTCTTTCCATCATCCATACATGAGCAAAATTTATTCCCAAAATTTCAAATTGGAAACCCTCTTCTGCAGATATTTGATTGATCCTGTTTGTTTTCAAATTTTTGTATGAAACACCGTTCGTCAGATCATATCTTCACTTTTCAAATAAGTATTTGCTTTGTTATTGTTTTTCGAATTTGCGATTTTCCTAATTTTTACAGGTTTTTTTAATCGGTATTTTTTGGGTCATTTAATTAAGTTTTTTAGTTTTTAAAATTGTCGATTACACAAGTAAATCTGCCTTTTTTAGTGTAGAAAAGTGAACTTTTTTAGCTCAATATGTATATAGTTAGAGCACGAGCTGTGTTCACATCTTAAATAATTTGGGTTGGGATACATTTCAAAAAAGCTTGAATGAATTTTTTTAATTCATAACAGTAAAATATTTATAAATTTTATTATAGTTAGTCTTCTGCAGTACTCTGCTCAATTCCATCTCCACATTATTTCAGTGTTACTGCACAGTCATGCATCATGGATTTGAAAAAGCTAGATGACAAACAATATGGGTCTGTTTAGATTTTGGAGTTTAGGAGAGTTATCTTTGGAAGGCCTGGTAGATAACTTGATGAATAAATGTTTCTAAAAACAGATTTGATTACTGGGTCAAAATACTGGTAAACCCATTTCGCTTTGTATCTAGGTTTCGATCTAAGAATTTACAAATATTATCAAATAGAGTTATTTTCGACAACATGTTAACTTTGGCTAAATGATGAATTATACTCCCTTCGCCCCGTAATAATGTTCCACAACGCCTTTTTCGTCCGTCCCAAAATAAGGTTCTTAATCCTTTGCATCACTTTCATCCATACAATTTTACTTTTCTTAATCTCCGTGCTAGGTCAATTGTGGAACATTAATACGGGACAGAGGGAGTATTAAATTAACACACTTAACATCCTTTGCTTCTTTTTATGATTTCTGTTGTTGTTGTAATAAAAGCATCAACACATCAAGGGTCTAATGCCAACCTCTCTTTTTTTTATAAGGTTGAGTATCATTATTCTCAGAACCCAAGGTACTTAGGATTACACATGGTTTTGTTGTTGTTTTTGTTGTTGTATCTAATTTTTTATAAGGTTCCAGACATCATGACTGAAATAAAGAAGGCTATAAAACTCGAAGCCATTCAAGATTTTAAAAAGTGCGAGACTTCTCAAATAAGACACCAAACGGAAAATGCACAACTAGGAGCTTTGCAAGATTTTTATATTGTAGAAAGTTAGAAGTCCCAAATCGTATATTCGTATGTGTGCCAAACATGCTCTATGATATGATCAGATTTGCTTGCTTGCTAACAATTTTTCGATGCTTTCGAGGCTTTTTCGCACTTGCTTTTATTATATGGTGAAATAGTTTTGCTTCCAACTGAAAGATTTCACCATTCTTGGTGTAAAAAGTAGAATATTCATATCTAAGAGAGATCATATAGGCGTTATGCTGCTACTGGTCATAGGATTCCTTGAGGCTTCAAGTGGAAAAGGAGTTGGGCTTCTGTGGCTGGAGTCCAGTTTTTGTGCCATAGTTTGACAAATGACAATGCAAGAAGAATTCCAAAGGGAATTACCTCAAGATATAAGGTTAGGTTTTCCTGAGCCGGAGAGATCTGTGAGTCAAGAAGTCGTCAAAGCAGAAACTTTTGTTGGTAATATATCTCTTCAGGACCCTGAGCCGGCTGAGGAGAAGTGTGGCAAAATTTCTTCTTTTGAGAATGGAGAACAAGAGTCCAAAGAGACTAATTCTGTATCATCTCATCTGAACACTCTAGTAAAACATGAAAGGGAGAATGACCTCTGCCAAGGGCTTAAAAGCAAAGAATATGCTTCTGAACATTTGCATCAGACTGCCACTTTTCTGTCCCATCACCCAGTCAAGCCTGTAACTTCTGAGATAGAGCTGCCTACTTGCTGGGCACCAAAGAGTCCCAAGAAAGGACTCCTGAATAACATAGTTCCTAGAACTGAAACATGTGATGCCAGTTTGGCTCACAGTATGTGCACGGAGGAAAATGGAGCAAAAGATTCTTATACACTGCCATATACGAGCACCGTAGAAGACAATTGTGGCAAACTTCCTCAAAAACAGAGCAAGTACTTTTCTTATGATGCACCACTATATGGCGAAACTGGAATATGGATACCTGTTTCTGTTCCTCCAATGTCAGAAAGTGACCATGAAGAGTGGGCTAGAGGCTTCTGCTCAAAAGGGGAATACTTTCCCGTAGAAGATACAGGTGCCTTCCAGTACTTGGGAGAAGATAAAGAGTTGACCATGTGGGATGTCCTAGTGGAAATGTTGATGGTAGCTAGGGGGAAAGTGAGCGCTTTAACCTTGGGTGATATCCATAACCTTTCATGGATCTCAGGCCACATTGTGGAGCAGGCTTGGAAAGAGATGGCTCAAACTCTGACAGAGGCTAATTTTGGTACTACCAGAGAACTTCTTGAGGCAGAACCACCCAAATGGCTTCCTGATAGTGCAGCTTCTTCCTGTATGCTGTGTAGTGTTCGGTTCCACCCCATCATGTGTAGCAGGCATCATTGTCGTTTTTGTGGGGGGATATTTTGCAGTGACTGTACAAAAGGAAGGAGTTTGTTGCCAGATAAATTCCACATGGAAGAACCAAAGAGAGTATGTGATGTATGTTCCATACGTCTTGAGCCTGTTCAGGCATACTTAATGGATCAAGTTAGCCGTGCTGCACAGTTGCCAACCCATGATTTGACAGATCTCAGCACTTTGAGATCATGGATAAATTTTCCATGGGGACAGTCAATGGAGTATGAAATTTACAAGGCCACCAACATACTTCGGAGTTATAATAAGGTATGGACTTTGGAAATAGGTATATTGAGGACCAATTGCATCTTCTAGGTCTTCCCTTTACTTATCATATAAATTTTGTTATGCTCTAACTTTATTATTAATTATTTCAACCCATTAATGATGTTCTAAGTTTCTAACATTGGAATATACATTCTCACCACTTATTTTGGAATTACTCACATGGTTACGCTTGTAGGCATCTCTTTAGTCTTTACAAAGTAAGATCACCCCCCAAAAACTTTTGTGCTAGATTTGTGAGAATACTTGATACATATTCCATCAATAAGCATGGCATAGTAACAAATTGTTCCTGACTAAATTTACATGCTGGTTCTTTGCATACAATTTTTTATAGTGTCGAATATGACTAGGAAACCATAACCCTAATAACATAGTGGGCCTAGCCCAACATGTGTGTATCTGTATGTAAACCTGTCTCTTGTAATGCTTTAAATGCAATAATATCTCATTATTCATCATCAACCACTCTGATTTTCTAAAATTCCAGGTAGGTTCTCTGAGGCACGAGAGGAGAATTCCAGAATATATTCTTCGAGGTGCTCAAGGTCTTGCAATACTCACTGTAGCAAAAGTTGGAGTTGTGGTTACTTATAACATCGGAACTGGACTGGTAGTTGCTCGCAGAGAAGATGGCTCGTGGTCTCCTCCCTCAGCCATTTCTTCTTTCGGTGTGGGATGGGGTGCTCAGGTTGTGTAACGAGCCATGCTTTTATTGGGAACCACTGCTACATTTATTTTTAGGATGTTTTTTTATGATGACCAATGCTTGCTGTCAAATATTCATGCTAATTATGGTTTTTTAAGAATCATAACTTATTTTCAACATTCAATCTCGTATGGATGCTTCTTAAAGTCAGTGGTTGTTGGTTCTGGCGATCACTAATTCAGCATGTGTATCCACTTCACTTGGATTTTCTTTTATTGAAAAAATAGTACTTCGACAATAATGTTCAACCAGTCATTGCAGAGTTTCTCTGAAGTGTTCCATATCTGTGTTCTAGCTTCGAGCGATGATATGATTTTTTCTAGTGCATTTTGCAGGTAGGAGGAGAGCTGACTGATTTCATAATTGTTCTGAGAACCAAAGATGTTGTGAAGACTTTTAGTGGTGAAGCACACGTTTCTATTGGAGCAGGCTTGAGTGCAGCCGCGGGAGTTGTTGGACGGACTGCTGAAGCTGATTTGCGTGCGGGCACTGGTGGCTATTCTGCCTGCTATACATATAGCTGCAGTAAAGGTTTGTTTTTTACTGTTTGTAACATACCAAAAGTAATTTTTTCAGCTGCATTTAACCAATGGAGTAAAATCTAGGTTGGTAATACGTAATGAAATGTAACCAAATGTATGTGTGGTGTAAATTTACACTAAGAATAATGAATAGAATATTCTAATATTTTATATATGCTCCCTCCGTCACTAAAAGAACTTTATGCTTTCCTATTTCATCCATCTCAAAATAAACATCATATTTCTCCATTTTCCCTTTTGGGAAATTAATACGTTGCTCTTGTCATTTCTCTATCTACTAAATAAATTTCAACCACATAGTTTTCACTCTATAACCAAATGTTACTTTTCAACCGTTTTCTAAAACTTCATGAAGTCAAACTGTCATCTTCTTTAAGGGATGGAGGGAGTACATGATGTTACATATTTTTACGATCTACCAAAACTAAGGTCTCAATTGGTTTAGTTTCGTTTCTGCTTTTGGCCAATTCTGAAGAATCAAGCAGTTGATAATCTCTGAAAATCATATTCTCGAAATGGACCAAAAAAGTGTATAACTGTTGGGAAAAAAAGTCAAAACAGGAAAGGCTTTTAGGACCGGAGGGAGTAATATGCAATTTCTTACGCGATCCATTATCTAGAAAATAATGCTCAATTTGCCTTAAATTTGATAACCATATGTGGACCAACAATGTTTTTCTACTAACTTTTTTTTGTTCATAAAAATTCTTGTTGCAGGCGCGTTTGTAGGAGTTTCTCTGGAAGGGAGTGTTGTGACAACCCGTTGCCGAGAAAACTCAAGATTCTACGGCAGTCAGTCAATAAGCGCTGCAGATATTCTGCTGGGCTCATGGCCCCGACCCCCTGCTGCCGCCACCCTTTACCGTGCACTTGCAGATTTATACCGTAAGCTTTAACTTATAAGCTCTGTGCTTATTCTCAATTCCTTATTCAGATGTATTTATAAGCTCTGTGCTTATTCTCAATTCCTTATTCAGATGTATGTTTCTTGTGTTTATTTCAATGGAATGTAAATAGGGTACTCAATTGTGTACAGTACATACAAGGACTCAATTTGGATGAAGTCTTTTTTACTGATAATTGTGAAGAAATTATAGATGTGTACATTGGCATCCATTCTATTATAATTGTTTACTTGATATGTAATACTCCATTTGTTTGTGAAATTAGGCTTCTATAAGACTTAGGGGTGTTTTTTTGTGCTGGTGCTTATTGGTTTATTGCTGATAAGTAGTTTTTAACTTATAAATTGTTTATAAGCCAAATATTCTTTCGTGGAAATGAAATTACTTGAATGAAAGATAAGTCATTTGACAATATTCATAAATGGTGAGAGAAAATTTTGCAAATAATCTAGTTTTATTCTAATTATTAGGCACTCCTTCCATACCAATTTAAATGGCTTGTTGCAGTTTATGATATTTGATTGAAGTTATTTTCAAATAATTTCATATGAAAAATGTAGAATTAAAAAATAAAATTACATACGGAGTATTTAAAAACCACATCACAAGATCTTCAAAATTAGTTGTGACATGATCATATTATTTTATCAAATGACTAACGAAATAGGAAAAATAAACTGAGTGAATTTCATCTTGTGAATAGTAAAAAGACAATTTAATTTTAGATTGATGGAGAAATTTTTATTTCTTAACATATTTCTTAAATTTTGTAGAAGGCAACCAAAGAAGATTTTATGGGACGAGGGGATTTTTTTTGTCTCAACATTAGATTTCATTTTTTTTCAAAGAAATTCTTGTTTTGAAGTTAAAATTAAGCTACAACCACTTTCATCATAAATCAATAATGTCTGCCCATTTGTATTAAATTATAATGTGTCATTGTCTTGTAGCAACCATTTGTATGTTTTCACATTGAGTTTGATTTGTATAAGTGTTCACACTAATAAGCTCCTCTATTGTAAATCAAGGCTTAGGTTCTCTACAATTGACACCTAAACATTTATTGGAAGAAATGCTTAGGTTCCCTATAATCGATACATGACTTGTGGAGTGTTCTTGCATCGTGGTAAGCTCCGGTGTTCAAAGTTGCTCAACCCACATTCCGTCAACAAAAAAGTACGTTGACCCTTTGTCATTATCAAAACATATTGTTCATAGTAAATCCTGAGACTATATGTTCAAATGTTAAATTCGAAAGACACGTTGTCAATAAACATTGTCACCACCAAATTAAAATTTATACTACATTGTCGATAGACACAATCCAATGGTTGATTATCATGATAAATTGGAAAGTGTTATAAACCCACTGCAAAAATAGAGTGACCAATCTTTAAGGACCTAATTTAGGGAACATAACACAAACTTTCAGTACTTGGGAATCTATAATGGCCTTGGAAGTAGCTAGACAGCACCAAACATGGATCTATTTACAAGATTTAATCAATCTGTTTGAAACCTGTGTGTAGCATTCTCATCACCAACAATACTCTTCATCATCACCATCATCATCATCTTCTTCTTCTTGTTTTTCTTTTGAAATGTTCACCCAGAATAGTCTTGGTTCAGCTGAAACCATACCTCTCTGAAGGCCTTGATGATGATGTGATGGTGATGATCACAGTTCAATGTCAAGTAACAAGCCAAAAGCTCTTCCAGATCTTCTGGGCTTTTGATCCCCATCTTTGTGATCATCTCAGCCATTGAATCTTTGAAGTCTTCCTCTGGATCAAATGAACTCTTCACCATTGCAAATCTCTCAAAGCTTCCTGTTTTGTTATTTTTCCCTTTTCTCTCCACATTCTTCATCTTCCCCCTCTTGGTTTCCTCCAAAGATTTGATTTTGCACTCATTCCTTGGAGAATAATGGACTCCCAATTTAACCCTCTGTTTTCTTCTTCTTCTTCTTCTCTTCTTCTTCTGGGAATGTTCTTGATGAAACACATTATGAACTGAAGATTCAGTTTCCTCTGAAGAATCTCTTCTCTTCAGTTTTTTAAACTCTGGGTCCCTCTTGGATTCTTCTCTTCTTGGAGTTTTCCCATTAAAACTGGAATTCCAGTAATGATCAGGACAATCCCCTCTGCTGGAAAACCTTCTTTCTGGCATCAATGGAGTTGGGGAAATCGAATCTCGCTTCTTCTTCTTGAACTTAGAAAGCCAAGAAACTGGAAAGACATGGGTGATCAGAGATTGATGGGATGAAGAAGCTCTGTCATTTCTCCATTTCATCATTTCACAATCTCGCAGGGAATTTCGAAAGGTTTCTTTGGAATTCTTCTTTTTTTCCTGGTTTTGTTTTTGGGTGAAAAAGTGAAAGGATGGTGGGCCGGTTTTTTTGGGGTTAATGTGATGGTGGGTTCATATTAGTGTGGGGCCGTGGGGGGAGACTGCTGAGTTTAAAAAACACTCTTTTAATTTGTTTTTACTTCACTTTTGTACTGTAAAAATGTTTTCTTGTCCACCACTCATCAAAATTCAAAATGTACTTTTTTTTACCTATGTATCAAATACTGTCCTTCGTTCTTAAATATTTGTTCGATTTTAAATTTTTATAGTTAGAATTGAAAAACTTTGACAACTAATTAAATATTATTAATTATATGTATTACATATTGATACAAAAATAATTTTATCAGGTTTAAATAAAAAATATTTTCAAAATATTATTTTGTTTGATTAATAAACCCCGGTTCCTCAAAACTTGTCCTACATTATTTTTTTTACAAGTTTAAACCTTTAAGGTTAGTGTATTTTCTAGCCCCCTTACTTTTTAGAATGTGTACTGGGTGTGGCTAGTAGATTAACAATGAATAGATATGATGTGATAAGTATGCTAATAATTAAATAAGTAAATAATTTATTTTAATTGATGGAAAAAATATTTATTTGGAAAAGTAAAAAAGGATAGAGGAACCCTCGGGGAAAATATTAATTGATGGAAAAAGTATTTATTTGCTACAAATTCACTTCTTTTATCCATCTAAAAATAAATTTTACGGAGTACTTTTCTTTCTTTACATTAAGAAAAAGCAAATGCTGTTTTTAACTTTCCTCTTCTCCAAACAAATTAAACTTTAACCGGGTATAACGTGGTATATTTTTATTTTTATAATTTTTCTTAAAATTTGAGAATTTAATTTGGAGATGGAGGGCTTATGCGTGAATAAAAAGTTTATTTGATTAAAATATTGATCTCAGTGATTGTTCGGTCAGGTCAGAGGGACCCTCGGGGATGGGGCTCATCATTTTTTTTAATTTAGGAATTAAATTCCAACCCCAGGGTCCCGACTCCCGAGTAGCGGCACAAGCAGTATATTGATAGATGATAAACTAATCAACCATGGGGTACACTAAAAAGTAAAATGCATCGATATTTGAATGTTTGACACTGGCACAAAATGTTAGTTAATTTACTACTATAGTTTTTATGAAAGTGTACGTTTATTTCGAAAGAAATGCCCGCCATAAATCATGTGATCAATTGCCCACTTTTCCCCCCACTGTCCCAGCGGTTATTTACCTTCTGCTTTCATTAAAAGATTGATTCCTCAGTCTCAAATGCGTTAGTTTTGTTTCATCTAAATATTGATACATTACCATAACTCTCAATTCTCAATTCTCAATTCTCAATGATACGAAGTACGAAGTATTTATTTTTGGGTGTATAGTCTTGTTTTATTTGTTGTTAGAAGTATTAGAATATTAGATTTTGTTGGTTACTTTTTTTTGTAACTAATATGTGTTTGGTTGGGAGAAAATATTTTCTTACGAACCACAATATTTTTCAAATGAAAATAATTTTCAAGAAAAATTATTTTCTAATCATATTTTTCGTTGTTGGGTAAAGTTTGAAATTTGATGTTAGAATATAAATAACTCTTTCTGTCCCGTAACCACAAGCTTGATCTTTTGGCTGTGGCCCCGGAAGAGTTATTTATATTCTAACATACAACCACAAGCTTGAGCTTTTGGTTGAATTGGTTCATTGACATGGTAACAGAGCCTTGTGACTAAAAGGTCACAAGTTCGAAACTCAGCGCCACCCAGTTTTAAGAAAATTAAAGTTTCACGTGCAACGCTCGAAAAAGACTACACCTGCACGTGAGGGGGCGTGTTATAATATGAATAACTCTTTCTGGGCCACAACCACAAGCTTGAGTTTTTGGTTGAATTGGTTCATTGACAATTGAAATAATAGTATTGCTCAATGAATTATGAAGTACATGATAGAGTATATATAGGAGAGACTCCTAACACAACTAGAAATAGAGAATGGTAACTAACTAAAATACAACATCTACCATAAATAGGAATAAGGAGCGAACTAATAATCAAACACTACCATAACCTATACTACTAGAAGTGATATTAGTATTATTGTCTAACAACCCCCCTCAAACTGAACTCTAGTTGAAGCAAGAGGAAGCTTGGACACTAGTTGGAAACTAGAAACTTTGAGAAGAGAGAAGTCTGACGTGCGCCGGTAGCTGCTGACATCGTTGGAGAAGGGAGAAGTTTGACGTGCAGCTGCAGACATCGTTGAAGAAGAGAGAAATCGACGTGCGCTGGTAGTTGCTGACGTCGAAGAAGAAGAAAGAAGATTGACATGCGCTGGTAGCTATTGACGTCGAAGAAGAAGAGAGAAGGTTGACATGCGCTTGTAGTTACTGACGTCGAAGAAGAATAGAGAAGACTACTGGAGGTGCTTGTTTGACTGAAGAAAAAAGGAGAATGAAGAAAAAAGGATGCAATGGACAGCGTACCTCTACAACTCACCCTTTCAAAAAGGAAATAGGGCATTGCCTGGATCCAAGAAAAAGAGAAAGAATGTTAAGGATCTTCAGTCAAACAGACACCACCAATAACCTTCTTTGTTCTTATTCGACGTCAGCAGCTAAAAGCGCACGTCAACCCTTTCTCTCCTCTTCAAAGACGCCAGCAACTATTAGTGTGTCCAAGCTTCCTCTTGCTTCAGCCAGAGTTCAGCTTGAGGGGGATGTTAGACAATAATAACAATATTACTTCTGGTAGTATATATTAGTTATGGTAGTGTTTCTAAACATCCCCTTGTAGTATTTTAGTGGACTTTGTCGCACGTCAAACAACATTAGTATTATTGTTTAACAGAAGATTTTTT